AAAAAAATCATTAGGGTTTCATCATACTTTTATGTCTAAAATAATTGCTTGCATGAGAATATTTGCCTTGCTCACTGTCCTTAGTAAATAAAAACATTTGCATATTTTCAAAGGCATGCTTAGATTTTGCAAGCCTTGCATTTATTACGACTACAATTAATATACTGCATAATTCCTTTTAACCTTTTAATTCTTTTTTATGTTGATTATGACTATTAATAATAATGCCTACACTATTAAATGCTTTATATTTGTTATCTCATTTCATTTCCTCTAAGACCTTATGAAGTATCTGTTATTATCTTCACTCCTCAGATATGGAAGATGAGGAATAGAGAGATTTTTTTTTCAGTTACAGTTGACGTTCAATATTGTATTACTTTTAGGCATACAGCATGGAAGCTGGACATTTATATAACTTACAAAATGATCCCCCAGATAAGTCTAGTACCCCCGACACCATACGAAGTTACTACAATGTTATTGACTATATTTCCCATGCTGTACTTTATGATTTCATGTATATGTGAGATCTAAAGAATAAAACAAACACACAAAACAGAAACAAATTCACAGATACAGAGAACAAACCGATGGTTACTAGATGGGAGAGGGGGTGGAAACTGGGTGAAATAGGATCAAGTACAAGTTAGCAGTTATGAAATAGCCTCAAGGACTAGAAAGATTTTGAATAAACTTGCTTAAAGTCATATAGCTTGTAAGTGGAAAAAGATTTGAACCAAGGTCTGCCTAAATTCAAAGCTCTTTAAAAGTCTGTATTCCCTCGTTTTAACTTTATGGCATCCTCATGATGTAAGAAAGGTTTTATTAACCCCATTTTAAAGATGAGGAAACAGATTTACCCAAAGTTTCAGTGACTTACTTAAGAGTCTGGACACTAACCCTGCAACTCCATTCTATTCACCATCCGTCCCATCATGTTTCTAGGGTACCAGAAACTACTCCCATCAAGAGGGAAAGCCAGCATACTGGAATTAGCCTTGAGAATGAAGTATAAGCAGGAGTGTAATCCATGCATTTTTAAATTGTTCTTTGCTACATGCGTAGCATTGCATCCCAATATTAAAAATCTACCCTTTATCCAATAGAGAATGCAGATGGTTTGAAAACTTCACAGCCAAGCTGGAAATGACCTACATTTAAGAAAACTCCTGTCCTGGACTCTGTCAAAGCCACATCATGCCAGAGATGGTTGGAACCTTGAGAATGCTCCCGTGAACACTTACCCACTGACAGCCAGCAGTTACATTGGAATCGCTGATGACCCCGCAGACACCAAACTCCACTGGAATCTGTCTCCGCAAGCCCTGTCCACTCTCAGGTTGCCTCCTTGGAGATTCTCCTTCTCTGAACTTCTGCCGTATTTGTTACTCACCCTAGTAAGCCAGGCAAAGTGTATGTCCAGGCCCTGGTACTCCGGCTTGCCCAGAACTCTGAGAATTGCAGTTCTGCTGTAAATTGTCAGAAAGCCACGTCACGGTCTGTATAGTCATGTCCTCAGGTTCCTCATGGGTAAAATAACATTAATAAGCTTACGTGACTGTATTATGGGGATTAAATGAGACAACGGACAAAAAAGCCATTAGCACAGTGCATTGTAAGTAGTCAATAAATATTAGCTACCCAATATTATATTACATTATTTAATTACTAATAACATAATATTATTATGTTATTCTTACTACTTACTAGTGATGAGGAGTTTAAGTATATTGGATTTAATTAAAAAGAGTATGATTAATCATACATGCAATTGGATAGTTAAAAAAAAAACCTGAATTGGACCTTTCTCAGCCAAACAATGATATAAAAAGGAAAAAGACAAGGGGTAGAATTATTCATATAGTCACTCGGGATCATGTTGTGCCTGTGATGTCTGAAGGGATCGGGAAAAGAGGCGAGGTTGAGAACCACCTACCTTTATGGATTAGACGGAGAAAAGGCTTGCACAAAGTGGTTGTGTTTTGGAGACTTTTGTCCTTCACTCACAGAATCACCACTTATTCAATTTGTCTATGTTATAAGTTAAAAGCAATAAGGCTCAGAGAGGACATGCCTTTCAGTAGACAAAATTAGAAAAAATATACCTGAATTTACATATATATGTAAATTTAATACATATATACATATTACTTGCTACACACAAATATATGTGGATTTATATATATTTATGTATGCATATGTATGTCTACATGTATTATACATATGTCTGTATAGACATATATAAAATCACACCCATGTTTTTAATTCCAGTCCACACCCCACTCTGTGAGGCTCCTTCTTGCCCTCCCCAATCTGGGTATTGATGTTCTCTTTCCATGAGAGAATTCTAGCTCCCAACATCAGGAATACATCAATGCCACAGTACATCTAAAATAATTTCAAAATTGCCTAACACATCCACCACAAGATAAATAAGTGATATATGCAAAAAAGAATTCAGGAGCTGGTTTCAATTCTCCCCACTCAACCTCACCCAGGACAGAAGGTAAACAGTCAAACACTGTGTGGATAAAGCTACTTGGATTTCTACTTTCTTTAGCTTTTTCCTCTTCAATGTGGTTATAGTATTTATTTGAAATACAGTTAGGTTCATTTGTTTCCAGTTTTAGGTTTTTCTTTCCCTTCCCCTCTTGCTTTAATTTTATTTTTGAAACTGTAGAACATTAACATGCTTCCAAAAGTCATAATGATACAAAAAATATATATTGTGCTCAGGGAAGAATCATCCGCTCCTGAGTCACTTTCATTCCCTCCTTCCAGTAAGAAATCAACTCAATCATTTTTTAGTTTATCTTTCCTGTATCTCTTTTGGTAACAATAGGCAGATATACGTATGTTTTATTTCCTCTGCTTTCTTACACAAAAGATGGCATACTGTATATTCTTTTCACACTTTCAGAGTTGTTGTGTTTTTTTTAGTTACTATTTCCTAGAAATCATACTATATCAGTTTAGAGAAATCTCTCTCATTTTGTTTTGGGGATTGTTTTATATAGCTACACAGTACTCCATTGTGTGCACATACCATATTTTACTTAACCAATTGCCTATGCTTGGAGATTTAGGTAGTTTCTAATATTTTACAACTACAAATAATGCTACAAAGCAAACTTTGTACCTATATACTTTCATATTTTGGAGGTGCATCTTCAGGATAAATTCCCAGAAGTAGGATTTCTATGGGCAAGAGATAAATGCACACATGGTTTTGTTAAATGTTGCCAGCTTCTCCTCCGTGGTGGTGATACCATTCTGGATGCCCATCCGCAATGAACGAAAGCGCCCGTTTCCACCCAGCCTCATCAACAGACTACATTGTCAAGCTTTTTACCTTTGCCAATCTGACAAATAAGAAATGACATCTCATTGTAGTTTTAATTTGCATTAATCTTACTATAAATGAAGTTAAACGTATTTCATATAGTTAGGGCCATTTATAGGTCCCTTTTATTTATGAATTGCCTGTCCTGAATTTTGCAGTGTACCTTCACACATGTTAGGCCTAGTCCCCATTCAGGGCTCTTTCTTTCTAGCGCTTTCCTAGCTAGTCTTGTGCACTTGTTTTTCCACAGGAACTTTCACAACAACTTGTCTTGCCCTTTTAAAATGCTCATTGATTATTGTATTAGGATTACAGTGAATCTATAAATTAACTTCTGGAGAACTGACACCTTGATCAAGTTGAGACATGCCAAAAACAAGACTCCTTTTGCTCAAATTATAAATACATCTTAGCTCATTAAATAATATTTATTGAGCAGCTATGATGCCCTCAACACTGCAATAAGCACTATAGAAGTGAAAAAGTAGGCTCTGTCCTCAAGCAGCTTAGAATTTCATGCAAAAAGCAGACTAACACACCCAAAGGAATGCAAGCAGTTCACAACCTTAGGTAAAAAAAAGCTGTGCATTGCACAACCAGACCACACATGCTGCGCAAGCTCAGAGGAAAGGGAGAGAAATGAGGGCTAGAATTACAAGGGAAGACTTTTGTCTGGATTGAGATTCGAATCATGTGCCCCAAAGTTGTGTGGGATTTAGGTGGGGTGACAACAAAGAGAAAGGAAACCCAGTGAGAGGCTCCCAGGTGAAAGCTCAGATGTAGACAGAGCGTGACATGTCTCACAGGACAGATTCTTAGGGGCCATAAAGAGGAAGCCACCACCCTTCTCTTCACACCCCATAGTTATGTCTCAGTGTTAATAGCTCCCAGATGCTCACTATGTACTTATTAAAAGTAGTGAACATCTACTAGGTTTCCAGACACTAGTCCTTTAGAATGGTAATTTCTGTACATCATTATCTTTCCAGGGAATGATCCAGAGCTGTGCCATCCAATACAGTCGCTACTAGCCACTTGTGGCTCTTGAGCCCTTATAATATGGCTAGGGTCACTGAGAAACTGAATCTCATTTTATTGTACTTAATTTAAATTTTAAAAGCGGAAGCGGTGTCAAATATTTTTCTGTCGAACCCAACTTCATTATTCGACAGCGCTGGTCGAGGGCCTTACAAGTCAGGATGATCTGGTCAGCGCCCTGTAGGCGCCATCCCAGACCTTCAGAATCTGCTGGTTTACAAAGACCACCCCCACCCCCCATCCCACCGAGGGTGATTCTTATATGTAGTCATAGAAGCCAGATGACTCAGAAGACATCCAAGCCTCTGGTAGGCTAGAGTGGTCCCTGTCCTTCTGGGGCTCAGGGGAGGGGGAGGAAAGGGGGGCAGCAGGGAAATCCCTGCCTATCACTGTGATGTCACAGAGAAAACCTTGTGTGTCAGCCAGCCCCACCCTGACTGGTGTCGTAGCTGCAGGACATCCTTTCCATCCTCTCCAGCCCAGCTCACACCACCTCACCCCTCTGCAGGCAAGAGGGGCCTGATTCATCTTCACGCTAGATACTCATTCCACACAACCAGTTAAAACAGGGCAGAAGAGAAACTGAAACACCTTTGACTCAGAACTTCAAAAGTGAATGAGCAACCCCTCTCAGCTGACTCAAAATGTTTGTCTCACCCAGAAGGTAAGGTACCTTTATTTTTGGAGTCTCGTGACTAGCTCACCTTTTTCATCTTCTTCCATTAAAACCTCCATTTCGTCTTCCTTTGCCTCTTCATCTGGCTTTTCCTCTCTGCTCCCAGGGCTTCTTAGAGCCCCTAGCTTTTCTCGCCCCCCCCGCATCTGTATGATTCATATTACCAAAATCTGGCCCCTGGTACAAGGCCCAATGGCGGTGACAGCGAAAGAGATGAGTATCGCTCTAGTGAACTGACAGAGTAGATATATATTAAGTTCTCTGCCAGAGAATGGTGAGGCAGCCCTGCTGGAAGCCAGCTCTGGCCTGGAATCTGCTGGCACTAGGAAGGAGAGCATGACCTTAGGCTCTTTCGGTCTCAGAAAATCAGACCCTGGAAGACCCCCACAGCCACCAAAGATGTCTTGGCCTCTTTAGGGTAAAACCCACATCTGGAAGTGACTTGCCTCCCATTTGAAAACATTGGGAACTGACAACCTTCAGCTCAAAGGATTCCTAGGAAAGCAAAAATTTTCATTACCGTATATCTTGCCTTTCTCAAGAGAAAAAAATGAAGCTTACAGTTAGCCAGGAAAATACACAGGCATACACAGGGCACACAATGTGGTATGCTGTTTATTGGTTGGAAGTTGGGGCTCTCAGAAGAAAGGATAATATAGGACCTAAGAAAGGGACATTTTTGGGACTGCAGGCAGAGCTTGTGCTTCTGAAGAACCACCAGAATATGGGTTCAGGCAGCTCCCCTAGCTCAGAAGCAGCCCAAAGTGAATAGATCATGAATAGAACAACCCTCAAAAGTGGATATGAATTATTGCAAAAGCCAGCCAGAGTAAATTTTATTTTACTTACTATTAGTTTATGAGGAGAAGCACAGAGGGAATATGGGAGAGTCTGTTTATCAGTCTTTATGTGAAGTATAAAGTACACTTAATCCATTGCCTCATTCTGTGTGAGTTTCCATAATCTGGCCTGCAAAGCCACCAGTTTGATAAGGTGTGATTGTGCCTTTACTGAGCAGCAGCCTGCGGTGAGTCAGGCAATTTTGCATATTGACTCCACCATTTTACTAGCATTGCGGCCTTGAGCAAGTCAAATGCTCTGAATGTGAGTCCTCCTGTCTACAACGGGAGTGGCCAGGTCTCCTTTGGACAGGTTGTGAGGATTAAATGAGATGCTTGGGAACAGTCTTGCAAGGTGTCTGGTACACCGTGTGGTTTCCTCCCCCAACTCGTTCCCCTTCTTTATTTACCTCTGAACACACAGTCCCTTAATGAGAAGAGAGGGACTAGAACTCAGATTCGCTTAGGGATTCGTGATCCCAAAGTTTCACCTGTTAGATCCACGAAGCGAAGCAGGCAGCCCTGTTTTAGAACAAGAGCCAGGGACCTGTGTCTTTAGGGGAACGGTAGGAGCAGCGAAATGCCTGACATTGGATTCCCCCGGGAACCCGGCAGGCACCTCCTAACCATGGGCCTACAGGCCTGGGAGTGAGGAATTTATCGATGACCCAGTCTCAGCGCTCTCTGCCAAGCCTCGCAGGCCAGCGGAGATGCCGTCCGCCCCCGCAGTCAGGCAGGCCCCGGCGGTCGGGACACCACCTCGGCGCCCTCAGCCACGCCCGATAGCGCCCTTCGGCCCCACGTATCGCCCTCCCTCCAACGGGCTCTCGCAGGTTCTTTTTCTGGGAGGGGCCTCGGGACACGGCCCTCATTAGACGCTGGAGGGCCGAGAGGAAGAAAAGACCCCAGCTTCCTGCCCCACCACGCTGGAGATGTCCTGGCTCCGGGCGGCTAGGGCGAGGCCCAGCCAAACAGTTCAAAACACTCTCCCGGCGCGTCGCCCGGGTAACGCGCGCCCGTTGCTAGGCGATCCGGGCGCCGTAGTAAACCGCGTGCTGATTGTTACTCATCCAAGGAGGGGGGGCCGAGGGGAGGCGGCGGGGACTTGGCTGGGCTCTGGCACCCCAGCCGCCGAGGGAAGGAAGGGAGGGCAAAAAAAGAAGGGATGAGGGCGGCGCACAAGGAATGAAAATGGGGCGGCCCAGCCTTGTCTGACTACGGCCATTCTTTAAACACCCCTCAGGAGGCCACTTGCGTTAGGCCCCCCAGTCTTGCCCTGCCCCGCGGTGCCCAAGAGCCCGCAGCCCCAGCAGTCCCCGAGGGCTCTGTCACCCGCGCGTGAGCGATTGTCCCACAGGATGTACACAAGCGGCTGACCCTCTGATTCACTCCGGCTGCTTGAGGCATTGAAGAAAGGCGGCTTCCTCTCCTGGAAATGACTGCTAGAACTGAAGTTCTCAAACAATTACATTAAAAGCGGAAAGGGAAAGGCCACGGAGAGGAGAGGCCTCTAAATGCTTTTCTTTGCTCCTTCCCACTGGACATTAGAAATGTTCCCAGAACTTGGGACCCACGTTAGGAAAACAGAGTCGTTTTTATTCTGCAAGCAGTTGAGATTAACCTGAAGAGCTGGAAAATCCCAGAGTTAAGTATCCAACAGTGATGTTAATATTTTGGACACACAGCATGGGCATTTTGGTGGCATTACTCTTCCCTTCCAAGGTCAAAATGTCCAGTAGGAAGACCTTCTGTTCTTCGAATGAGTCGAATATAAGGCACCGAAGTAAAAAATAATAATTAGAGCTGCAAAATCTCAGATAGTTCAAGATACATCACCCATAAAGGCTCTAATCCATAGGGAATCACTGAGCTTGGGAAAGAACAAAACATTTCCAATCCATCACTGGCTTTTGAGCAATGTGTTTGTACCCTGGTCTCTGTGAACTAAAGATAATACTTGTTCATGAGGTCATTGCTGTTTTCTGGGCTTTGGTCATCAAAAAGCAGGAATGTTTCCACAGGTGGGAGGAAATGTATTGGCAGAGGATATGTTTCATGACACTGTGGGTGCCTCAGTGTAGAAAGGCGGAGGCTGTGTCTGTGGGACCTGTGGACGCTTCTTTTAGCTTCTCGCTGCTGTTATGTATGTGAATCAGGAGGATTTGTGATGTGTCTTCTTTAGCAATATGAGGCTGTTGGGACACTTTTCTTTATTCACATTTTATCTACACCTAATATGCTCCCTAACTGTATTCATGAGACTCGTTTCCATTACGAACTTCATTCATTCATGGATGTGAGGCTGGGCTAGGCTCTGAGGACCGATGAATGAGACATAGCAGCTACTTTTTTGAGCTACTTGAAGTCAAGTGAGCATAAGAGACAAGTAAACCGTGTGATGAGTTCCATGAGAGAAGCACACAGTAGAGCCCGCAGAAGCAGAGAACAGGGGCATGTAGAGCAGAGCCAGTGAGAGCGCGCATGTTCACACTGCACTCCAGCCTTGTCTCCACTGAGTAGCAAGGAGGAGTTAGTTAATGGGGCCTGGGTCAGAAATCTGACTTCTGGGGGAAGGTCAGAGACCTGCTGCCCAGGAGGACAAGTGAACCTTTCTTGGGAGGAGATGCCAGTATGGATATGTGGAAAAATCCCTGCTGGATTCCCTTAGCCCCAGGCTTTTGACATTAGGGAAATGGTGTGCTATACAATTTTTTCTGGCTCAGCATTCTTACCCATTGTTTTAATCACCTCTTATCTACAGTGTACTTAAAAAAACAATAAATTGAATTCCTGTTTACAAAGTATGTGTGGGTGTCCCAAGACCATTGTTTTTCTTTATGGATACCCATGAAATAGGGTTTTGTACAGTGCAGGGAACAGTGACTGAGAACCTTAGCAGATGTAGGTTGGTCCCAACCCTTGGCTTTGTGATGTCATCAATGTTGAGTTTCATGTCTATCCCTGTGGGGATCATCCTGAGATGGTAACAGTCCAACATGCAGAAGTTAAATACTGTTTTGAGATGTGGAATCTTCGTGTCTGTGCTGAGTCATGAGCTTCTGAGCTGAGCCTAATTATATTTATGTTGCATTGACTAGCAATTATTTCTTCTGTTCTAAGAGAGGAAAGAGAAGAAAAATATATTAGCTCGCCTAAATTACAATGAAAGGAAGTGAGTAGGATGCTGGGCTCTGATTCCTGTGGCCAGGCAAAGAAACTCATGTTTTGTCAAAAGAGGAAATTAGATGTTGTGGCCCAGGATCCTTGGGGTGGGCGTGGGGAGGTGGGGGATGGTTCTCAAGATTGGTCACCATTAGTAGCCTGCCAGCCAGCCAAGCATGCACACAAAATGCACAGCTTCCTAAGGGTAGATTCAGGCTTTGGGGAGGCCTAAAATAATATAATTTTGGAGGCCCTCTTTAAGAAAAATAATACAAAATGACGAGTGCAAATTAGGTAACAGGGTCTTGGAACAGGCCTGTGTAAGAAGGGGACAACAAAGCTGAAGTTTCTTTTGTTTTATCCTAAATCCACCTCTAGGCCTCCTCGTGAAAGACTCTGCCGTTTCCATCCCCTTTTCCCTGGAAAAGGCAAATTTCAGTTTATTAAAGCAGAGGGGGTGCGGTTTATGAGCAGAGGCAATAAAAAACCAAAGACATGAGACTATGCCAAACGGTGACTCAAGCAGGATGTGAGAGGTGTCTGCAAGCATCTGAAGGGTGTTAGCAGAGAGAGGGGGAAAGAATCGTTCACTGTTCTGAGGTGGACAGGGAATGAGGGATGCGATTAAGTAAATAAAAATGTGCACAGAATTCATCAGGAAATATTGGCTAACTGTATTTTCTGATATAGTGGTGTTGCATTCCCCATGGGAAGCACTTAAGAATCAATTGAGTCACTGGAAACTGAAATGGGCCACAAAAAAGTGCTATGAGGAAACAATCCTGAGTGTGTTCTGAGCCCTGAATTCCAGAAGGCTGACACTATGTTCTATAGGTTAGGGTGTGGGGAGAAGTCCAAAGGGAGAAAAAGAGAACAATCCGCAGGGAGAAGCTGCCCCCTCCACCCACACTTGCTGCCTGGTGGGGGAACACGCCACCAAAGAGGAGAAAGTCTGAGGCGATGGTGCCACCCAGTGTTGGGATGAGTGGTGTAGCCAGGAAGCCAGCGGCCACTTGCAGCAAGAACGGTAACCACAGAAGTCCCGCTCCCTTATCCAAAGGAGAGGTAGCTCTGCCACAATCAATAAAGGGCCATTGGGTAACAGGGGAATCATGCCTGTCACAGGCATGTGTGTATCAAATATGCCGTTAACATCAGTGTAAGAAGAATCGAGAAAATATTAGGTGACAGAAGGTTGATCCAAAGAGGCTCATTTGGCTAAAATGTGGGTTAATTCAAAGCACACTGAGGAGAGCCTGCCTTTGATTCCCTGAACTAACTGCACAAATATAGAATGGGGAAAACCATGACTTGGGTGGTGGCAAATCCGGAAGAGGTGGGGGAAGGGCAGGGTAGGGAACAGAGGGTTTCATTAAATGTAAGCCCACAATGAGTCAAGCAGGTGTTATTTTTATGGTACATTAATTCTCTGCCTATATATTTTTCAGTCTGTTCAGCTTTTTACTGGTTGTTAGGTCAGAGTGGTGACTTCCAAGTTCCTTTTATGTAGAGTCAGAAGAAGAAGGCCATCCCTGGGTGTACACGAGGAGTGTCCTGAAATTACGGATTCCTGGGCCTCACCCCAGTACTACTATGAAATCTTGGGGTGGGGCCCAAGAATCTGCATCTTCTCCAACATTTCAAAAATTGTTCTGATGCTTGGAATGCAGAACTACTTGCTCTCAAATGAAGGAGAGGCCTTTGAGGACTTTACGATCAAGACAAGTGTTTATAGTGGAATCTAGGAAGTGCTATGAGAGGGGTGACAAGGACAGAGAGGAGGGACCTGCGCTTGGGCAGAAAAGAAACATTTTTGAGGAATGGGTGACTTTTACACTAATCCTGATGAGAGGCAGGTCACCAGGTGAAAAGAGAATAACGACATTCCCGGTAGAAGAGGCCCTGCAAAGGCACGGAGGGTGAGCGTCTGCGGGTGTGGAGGGCAACGCGCGCAGTTGCAGACTGTCTCCCGCCGTTGCCATACTAGCTAATTAGCACAATTTTTTGAGGACAGAACGAACAACTTGTACTTCTAGGTGACCGGCAGCAAGGATATAAGCAATCAACCCCCTTATTCATTTGTCAGATTATTTTTTAAGGTTTAGAAACACTTTTTTAAAAAAAATAAAAATTGTCATTCTTTTGCCTGAAGATTGGGGGAGAAATGGTAGGCAGCCATAACGTGGCTGACCCTGGGGTTTATTTCCCTCCTGTCCTCCTCCATCTGCCGCCTCACCCTCATCCCCACCCAACAGTCCGCCTGTCTCAACGTTCCATGCAAAGGGACTGTGTTAACAATTCTAATTAATGATGCTAACTGGAGGGAGGGGACCACCGAAGACATGAGAAAGCTACTTCATATCCATGGGTTCTAGGGAGCGCTGACATTGCAGATAATAGATCTTGTTACAGGGACAGAAAACCCTACACAAGGGAATGGGAACCTTTGTATTAATGGTGACCCTGTAATATTTGTGTGTCTGCCTTAAAATCAAGCTCAGTCCATTCACATCAGTTACCTAGGGAAGAGCAGTGAGATGGAAACTAAATCATCATTTACTTTTTAAACAAACTCCCCTCGGTGAATGCAGGTCCTTGCTTTCCTGTGATTAATCCCAGATCCCCATTGGCAAGCTCTCCTGTGTAATCTCCCACAACAGCTGGGCCATGATTGTGTTATCAATTATTAAATGCCTAAGTTCTCTGTAAGGCAGCGTTTAATCGTGAAGCATTCCATAAAAAAAAAAAAGAGAGAGAGAGAGAGAGAGAAGGGGAGGGATGCTAGAGGTGGGGGGGTGCGGCAGGGAGAAGGCTGGTCTTCAATCTTTCAACATTAAACCAAAGAGATCTGGAGCCCAAACAGCATCCTGCAGCCCTTCCGGACAAACTGCGAGGCTGACCAAGGTAACCAGCTTCCCCTGATTCTTTTAAGAGGCGTACCTGTCTCATCAATTTGTTGCCTATGTTAATTAAGAGGTTTTCTGTTAACCTATGCTGATGGAAGAATTTGTGACATTTTGGCACCTGTGCACTTCCTAATTCTGTGAACCCAAATGTCAGGGAAGCTACTCTTTGTCCTTTTTCTAGAGTAGAATTACTTTGGCATGGGGCTTGTCAGCATATACAAAAATATAACTTTTCTTATGGCTGCTACTTGTTCAATGTCACCTTAAGGAAACCACTGCAAAATTAGATTTGTTCTGCCAATTCAAGAGGTATATGGATTCTAGAAGAAAAAAAGCATGTTTTGGAGGGGAAATAAAATATGTGACGAGGGACAAGGTACTATAGTGTTGAAAATAATTCTTGAAAAGGATCTTAAATGGATTACCATTCAATTATCAAGATAATTCTTGAATGAGGCTCCTTGTGTCTATGCTTGGTGGGCACCCCTGGAAGCAGCCTCTTTGGGCTTCATTTCAAGCTCTTTTCATCCTTTGTTTTTCAAATCGCTTATTCCTTAAATTTGTTGTCAACTTGGTACAAGGGGTGGGGTTCATTATTCTTAGAAAAACCTGCAGAACTTACAAATATGTATAACTTGAAATAAATTGAGGGTAAAGTTGAAATCTGATGTGTTATGATGATAGTAAACTTCCAAGCCATATAAGATTGAAAATAAAGTTGAAAATGCAGAATTGCCTAAATCCTTAGTTCAGTCTTTAGACTAAATGATTAATGAAGATGTTTTACCTTGAAATTTATTTTAGTCAGGCAATGGATGTGAACATAATTAGAAGGGATAACTCATAGTAAAAGAATAATAACTAAAACCAATAGGATTTTCGTAACTAAAAACAAGATGAAAACATTTGCTTTTCTTATTCTTTTATTTTTTGGATTGGCCAACATATGACTCCCATATCTGGCAATGCAAGATCTTTCTTCCTTCCAGATGCTGTGGTTTTTCAGTCCTTACTAACGTCACCCAGAGTCTTGCACAGTCTGACCATTCTTGGTGGATTTAATTTGTTTTGAGTTCTTAAAAAAGGAAGGCCAAATAAGCAGATTGCTTTCCAGAAACCGTTTTATCATATGTTTTGTACGTTGGTTTTTATATACACATGAATCTTGTCTATTTCTTATCGCCATAAAATAATCTGCACTTTGTGGCATTCACTGTTTTAGTCCTTGTAAAGTCAAAAGAACAAACTTACATTTATAAGATAAAGTTCTCTGTTAAATGTAGAAAAAGTTATGCTGGAGATGATGAGAGAGGCAGATTAATGGGCCTATCCCATTTAGCTATGGCTTTATTTATGTCTCTTAAGCTAAGCAGATTTGAGTCTGATTAACTCTGCTATGAGAGATCCTCTGGAAAGCTCAAAATGGTTTATTTTAAGAGGCATCTGTCAGCAACTAAACGTGGGCTTCTTTTCCACTCAGTATGTATTAACACAACAGTACAAACCACTCCATAACATGAAGTGCAAGACCTGTCAGATTTCTTTTTCCACATCAAATTCAATCTGGCTCCAGGCCACCATTCCCCAAAGTTGAAACAACTAATATTGGTCATTTTCTACTAGCCCTTCTCTTCTCTTAGACTTAACAGTAACGAGACAGGGGCTCTAGACAGAGCCACACTGGCCACAGATCCTTCTGCTTCCACACACGATGTCCCCACTGTGAGTCGGGCACTGCTGCTGCATCAAGCTGTGGCAGTACCCTCCAGGTTCCCCTCCATTGGCCAAGGTTACCCTTTGTGTGGCTCCATGGCCACGACACTTGGTGTCCAGCCTCCATGGGCACCACGCAGCCACCTCCCACTTGATTCATGCATCTGAGTGGCAGTGGGTAAAAGCTGGATCCAGATAACTACCCTTCTCAGAACCCTTAGCCCCCTCTGCTCTCCAGGGGTTTCAAGAGCCCCACATCCCAGTCAGTCTACTGTTTTCTTTTATCCTCAAGACCTCAAAGCCTCTACCTGCACCCCAAGCCCATGATCCAGTTCAACATTGGGTGATAGGACACATCCCCCTTCACTCCTCTCAGAGGATGCTATAATGCAGGGAAGAGGACACAGAAAGCTCACAGCATGACCATAACACATACCTCTTCACGTAGACGAAACCAAAAACGATTATGAGCAAGAGCATTTAGAGTGCCCCCAATCCTTTTTCTCAACCTCATAGATAAACTAGCCTCAGTAGCTTAATCACATGCTGACTGAGACTATTACAGATCATCCTCAGTAAGCATTTCAATATAATAAGGCTCAGCCTAAATAAACATCACCACTCTGGTGCCTATCCTGGGCCACTCCTGCAGCCAAGCTTCCACACAGCTCCTTGGAGGAAACCCCCAGGGGCTGGCTGTGCCCCTCAGGTTGAAGGAAAGTGGCCTGAGCTTAGGAAGCCACAGGGAGGGGTGTCCAGTTCTCCACGGAGGCTGTGAAATCAGGCTCTCTCCTTGTTTCTCTGTTACAGATGGAGCTCCCGAAGGGCTTCTCTGGCCAATGGACATTCCTATCTGCCCTCCTCAACCTGCTATCATTCAGCCTCTCCGCAGCATCCCTGCTCAGCAACTGGTTTGTGGGCACACAGAAGGTGCCCAAGCCCCTGTGCAGAAAAGGTCTGGCAACCAAGCGCCTTGACGTGCCGGTGCCCTTGGATGGGGACGGCAACAACACATCATCCCAGAAGGTGGTGCAATACAGCTGGGAGACTGGGAATGACCGCTTCTCCTTCCATGCCTTCTGCAGTGGCATGTGGCTATCCTTTGAGGAAGCTGTGGAAGAACCAGGTAGCCTCCTCACCCTCAGCTGCCTGATTTTACCCTTCACTGGGATCTTACACAGACAAAAACCAGGAGGAAGTCTATAGCACTCCCCCAGAGCCCGCAGGCCTCACCCCAAGCTCAGCATCTGCCACCTCTGTACTGTGCCCCTCCTCCTTAGGACCCCCTTTTAATAAGATCGAAAGTCCACCTGGCTTTTCACTTCCTGCCTGTCTAGTAGACTTTCTGGTTTAAAACAGCATCACCTTTAAAGAGCTCCACCTAGGCATTCAACATTGTAAGGTTTTCCAATCCAGCAAACTAGAATTGCTGCTTAGAAACAAAACAAGCAGAGATGACTATCACAGGGAAAGCCCGGCTCTGCCCAGTCACGACCTGATACAGAGAACTTCATTTCTACAGGCCTTGATTTTCTCATTAGTGAGGTGGATCGGAGTAGATCACCGTTAGATCTCCTTCCCACTCCTCTTCATCTCACGAAGGGTTTTCTCACCCTAAGTATGGCAGTTGAAATTGTTAAAGTAGGGGAACTGAAGCTCAGAGAGGGTGACTACCTCTGAGCTCCCGGTCCTCCCCCACGAGAGGAGCAATTGTACTGAGGTGACCCCTCCCACTTCCTGCGCAAAGCACTCAAAGGCCACCTGGTAGTGAAGTTTTTCTAAAGCCCAAAATCGTGAACAAATTGTGATCTGCCACTTCCCCTGGTTTGGGCTAAGGGGAAAAGAAGATGAGGGAGGAATATAAATGTGTGTGTATTTACATTTATATTGAAGTTATTATTGTGCTACTTAACACAGCTCCAACCCCAGTCCCTTAATAATTTAGAGCCATTCAGACCAGTCGTACATCAGCAGCAAATGGTATGGGTTAACACTAGAAAACGTTGTTGTCTTCATTCTCAGGAATTGCGGGGAGAGAAATTAACCTTGGGTGGCTCTTGTCTTTAACATTCATCCATCCATGCATTTTTAACTGCTTTCAAAGAGACGTTCACCGCCTGCCTACCATCCCTCGGGCAGGCGCTGTGTCAGAACAAATGGAGCAGGGTGGTGCTGGGTGTGGGACTGGGGAAAGGTTTCCTCCCAACTCTCCAAGGAAGCGCCTCTAAGAAGCTGACCCTTGTCTGTTTCAGGGGAGAAGTGCCGAAGCTTCATTGAACTCACACCACCAACCAAGAGAGGTGAGAAAGGACTACTGGAATTTGCCACGTTGCAAGGCCCACGCCACCCCACTGTCCGATTTGGAGGGAAGCGGTTAATGGAGAAGCCCTTCCTCCCCCACCCTCCCTTGGGGCTTGTGGCAAGTATGTGGGTTTCATAACAAATTTAGTTGCCATTGAGTTTTGGGGCTTCTCTGGATCTAAATTGTACTGTGATCTCCAGCTCTTCTCTTCTTCTGAGCCCCCTCAGGGTGACACAAATTTCTTCCAGGGCTGACTTCCATTAACACGCAGAAATGCAAAAAAAGGAACAGCAGCGACAACTAAGTTCATAAATAGAAAACCAAACCACCACAGCTCTAGCCTACTCTTGTTGCCAAGTAACCAGTTGAAAAGCTTAGGTTTTTCCTTTTTTCTCCAATTTTTTTTTTTTTTTTTTATAAAATAGAAGGAAGAAAAGGAGGGAGGCAGAGAGAGGGAGAGAGGAAAGGAGGGAGAGAGGGAGGAAAAAAAACTGTCCAAAATTAAGTAAGAATAAAATAAAAATGATAAATAGCAAAGCCATATTCCTACAAGATTCAGATGACTTCTCAAATTTCTCAACAGTCTTTACAATCAATCAAATTTATTGATTATACATTGGATACTGAGCAGAGTGAGAGCTGTGGGGTGGTAGCAAAGAACCTCAAATGAAGGGACATTCCCAGGGGACTTCAGCTCTCACCCTCCCCTTCTCTGAGGCTGCGAGGCTTTTCTCTTCTAGTAGGCATCACCGAATTTCTCAGCTAACTGTTCACCCACCGTTCAGTTGCTTAACTCACAGCGTGACCGAGCTTCTTCCTCTGGTTTCTGACAGAGATCCTTTGGTTATCTCTGGGAGCCCAGTTCATCTACCTCGGACTTGAACTCATCAGGTTCTTCCTCCTACTAACGGACTTGCTGTTCACTGGGAACCCTGGCTGTGGGCTCAAGCTGAGTGCCTTCGCAGCTAGTTCCTCTATCGTGTCTGGTAAGTGCCCCCAAAGCTGGAGAGGTGGGCGTCCCCTGCTGTCTTTGAAGCAGAGTTAGCTGGCAGGCTGAAGTCCCTGTCCTGAGGGGAGGAAGGAGGAGCCCAAAGGCAGCATAAAGGATGGAGGAATGAGATACATTACAGGCGTCTTTCATTTTAAATTGAGATATTATGTGGAATGTTGTATTAGATCATTATGCACTTTATGAAGTTTCTTTTTATTTGCAAATTTTCTCAATATGTAAGTTAGTTTGGCTTACTTTTCAACTGTGACATACACACTCAGTTTTTCATGACTGTTGGCTAAAGAGAAGCATACATAGGATCAAGAATACAGCTCACATTAGGGTTATGAGTGGGAAGAAGTACAAGGGAACAGCGGCCCCGAGTGTGGGATTGACTCACACTTTCTCCTCAGCTCTAGGCCTACAGTCTGGGGCATCTGATTGCAAAAATTTGCATTCAGGAAGTTCCTATTACAGATTAGTCTTCCTGGAAGTGTGGTGGCATCCGGGTGACGGAACTTCTCCACACAGGCGCACAGGACACAAAATGAGGAGGTTGCTCTGAAACCACGTTCCCTGTAGAGGGCAACGTCAGCCTTTCTCTGAGGGCACTGCTTTCCTGTTCCCTCTGTAGGTAGGCCCTCTGGGGATGGTAGCCCACATAGTGTAGTCACAAGTCTTCCAGGCAACTGCCAACTTGGATCCAGAAAGACTGGAGGCCACATGCTTGGAATTACTGCTGGGCCTTCCAGTAGGTATTTACTGTCTCCTGAAACTTTGACCTCTCCCTCAGCCAACCTTCATTACACTTGCTCCCCTCAAGTAGTCACTTTGTTTTCTTCTGCCTTCTCTTCACCCCTCATCCCAGATGCCTGTCAGTCAGAGGGCTGGACCCTCAGGCCACACCCATTCTTCCCCTGCCTCCTGAGGAAGCACAGAGGGGGTCCCTCTAGATTGTTTTGCGAGGCTCTTGTCCAGTTCGTTTCTACTGGTGCTAACTGCAGTAATTGCTTCTTTACCTGATTAAGTGTGTTGCCCTTGAGAAATGAGACTGATTTTGTATGGCTTCTGGGAATAATGCCCTGTATTTTTTATATTTTATGATTCCAGGTATTGAAGGACAGAGAAATGGAGAATTAGTCTTGAAATTTGGGTTGAATTCCATTCCCTGTGAATGGCTTACTCTTCTCCTGTAACGAAGAGTAACTTCTTCTGACCTCCATTCTTATTCCACCAAACTGTGTTAGAAATAAAACTTCCCCACGGTCATTCTCTAACCCTTAAAAAACTAAAGAGTCAGTGATTTTAGATTTCTACTTAAAAAGAAGTAACAACTAAGACAAAACAAATATAGTCAAGGTAAACCGCCCCTTTGTTGAAGTTTCTCACTTTTTCCCTTGAAGAACACACTATTCAATGTGTAGACCCAACTTGAACTTATAGTAAGTATAGTATAGTATAGTATAACTTAAGTGCTAAGTACTTTAAGGTGTGGAAAAGACACAGCCCCAGGATGGGGCTCAGGTCTCTGTGCTAAAGTAGGCAATATGGAAGGCTCTACATGTCTGTGACAAGGTCCCCCTCCTCCTTTTCTCATGGTATAATACATGCTATTTGACTCCGAGGTCTTTGGTCTACTCCTCCAGCCGCCATCTCAGTTGAGTTTATTTCCCAGACCATCGTTCCTCACCTTTTGCCCATCTTCAAGCCATCGTTGGTGTTACAGCTACAGAACTCAGACTACAAAATTCCCATCAGAAGCCTCCCCGGACTGAGTCTGCTTAGTCTGTCAGAGGCAGCAGGCAAGAATATGCACCAGCATGTGGCCTGGCTTTAACCATCATTCGGGCTCAGGAAATCCCTCACTAACCTCACACAACTTCCTGTTCCGGGGCTTCCCTGAATCATGGGGAGATTTAGGGATTTTTGACTTTCCAAGTGTTTAGGACTGTGTTTGATCAAGTTCCCTAATGTCTTTTCTTCTTAGTCTCTTAATCTTCTCTTAATTTCCAGCTTCTCTTCCATCCATTATAAACTCCCTTAAACCGAGAACCACACAGTTTTCATAATTGACAAATTCCACAAATTCTGTAGTGCCTTAAGATTTGTAGAAACTGCTGCCTGAATGACCCTCAGAGACTCAACTTCGTGAATCCTTAAAACTGCTAAGCTCAAAACATTCTCTTGTTGGAGAAGGGATGATTACTTCGGTGACTGAGTGAAGAAAAATCTTTGACAGGGTTTGGTGGGAGGTGGGGTAGGGGGAAATGGGAGAGGAAGATAGTACATTGGGTCATGTCCACTGTCTACAGCCAAGCTACAGGTCTGTGGAAACTTGGGAGATGATACAAAGGTATCCACAGCTTGGGAAACAGTAGTCATAAAAGTTATGTGTGTGTATGTTTATATATATTAAAAAAAGAGGCACACCAAGTACAAAATTGCACAGCATTAACAAGTAATCAATTCAGTGAATATGAATCTGTTTATCTTCTAGTCTGACTTTAATGCTACACACTTCTCTTTTTCTACCAGACATCCAGAATGTACCCTACTAAGACAGACGGAATTAAGTCCTCTTGCCTACAATTCTTTCCCTGCAACGTAGTGGAAGACAGCACAATCAGGTCCCTAAATCCATGAGACATCAGCCCAGTTTACTAGGAGGAAGGAATCACAGCATTTTCTTTTTTTTATACAGCAATAATTGTGTATAATTTATTTTTTGATTTATTCTTTATTGTATTTTTCCCCATTACCATTTAGTCCCCGTATACCCCAACCCCAGCAATCACCACACACTGTTGTCCATGTCCATGAGTCCTTTTTCCCTTTTGCTCAATCCCTACACCCCCTATTCACTCCCCCAGTAGCTGTCAACCTGCTCTCTAACTCTGAGTCTGTCTCTGCTTTGCTTGTTAGTTCAGTTTGTTCAGCAGATTCCACATAGAGTGAAATCATATGGTATTTGTCTTTCTCCAACTGGCTTACTTCTCTTAGCATAATGTTCTCCGGGTACATCCATATACTGTCACAAAGGGTAAAATTTTCTTCTTTTTTAAGGCCGAGTAGCATTCTGTTGTATAAATGTCCCATAGCTGTTTTATCCCCCTAATTTTTCTGTATGTTTGTCCCTAGCACAGCCTCGGTTTCCTTTACCTGCTGCACGGCATCAGCTGTCACCACCTTCAACGCATACACCAAGCTGGTGCTGGAGTTCAAGTGCAAACATAGTTAAGAGCTTCAAAGGAAACCTGAGTGGCCTGCCAGTTCACCACCAGTGCTTCCTCCAACAGCTGTCAGGTGCAGCCACCCCGGGGTCCTTTGCCCGGCTACCACCAGTACTACAACCAGCCCATCTGCTTTGTCTCTGAAGGAGCTGACTTCTCTGCAGAGCTACAGAACGAGGGATTCCAACAAAGCACCAGCCTGGGGCTAGAAGAAGAGCTGGCTGGGTCATCTGTAGAACAGTGTTGGGAGTAAGGGGGTTTGGAGAGCAGGCTGAGCCCAACCTTACATGTTTGTTATCAACACGTGCGTGAGCCAAAATCTGTTTCTTGAGCGTGGTTTTTAGAGGTTAAGAACAAGGGTATATTCAAGTATATGTTCGAAGCGGGGAAGGGTCCCGGGCCCCACTGCTCCCTTTCCTTTCACAGCTCTGCCACCTGTCACCATCCCCTTTACCTCACACATTCACTTCTCTCCTTTACTGATTGTTACGTGCCCATTTCTCGGCTAAGCAATGGAGGAAAAAAGAGGAGTAAATCGCAGTTCTTACCCTTTAGGGGCTTATCAGCCTGGACACCTGCCTGGGATTTGGTGAAATGGAAGTGGGCAAGTCGGCGATCAGTGATTGAGGCTCAGTTGTCCAGGGTGCACTTGAATTTCCTGGGAGTCACAATTTCCTGGGAAGACGAAGACACTCCTAGGAGCTTTGACATGTGGAACAGATGTCCCTCAACCTGCCTAATACATGTTCTCCGTACACACAGTGGACACCCAATTAAAGTATAATTAAACATTAGCCCAGAAGCCATCAGGAGATGAGTGTGGATGAGAAGGTGTCCGCCGCGTGCAGAGACAGGCCCCCTTCCAGAAATGGCCCACCGAGGCTATTCAGACAGGACTACGGATCCCCAGCGGAGAGCCACACAGGAGACATCCCCAGTGAACAAGGCTGGGGCATACGTGCTTCTCTGGGTCCCCACCTTCTCATCCACCCACAAGGGAAAACAAATCATCCTTAATAGCTAAGAAGAATGACAATGCCACACACGTTATGTTCCCATACATAGTATTTATTCTGTAACAATTCACATTTTAAATAGTGCTCCCTGACAATATACCAGCTGGCTCTTTAACATGGGCAATAAGGACAGCAATTCACATTCAAGGGATGGTGTCATACCAACCTAGCAGGGAGTAGAGACCATCTGGGGGCTGAAGAGGATGTGGTCTAGGGCAGAGGGGAGGATCTGTAAGGAAAGAAGAGACTGGGAGGAGAAAGATCCCATTTACAGAAGTCATTACTACTTCTAGGTGGTTGTCATATTGGTTTTGCTGGCAACCCCATGTTGGGAACGAAGAAAGAAATCTAGGTGAGTGGTTGCCACAAGGAAAAGGAAGTTTAGAGACACAATGAACAAGAGACCAGCGCCCACACTGGTCAGGTGGAGCTTCCTCAGTCTTTGCCACCATTATCTGTACCGGCTACAAGAGGGAGAAGAAACCTAGAGCTTGTACTACGTTTAGCAAAGATACTCAAACTTATCGCAGTCAAAATAATCTATGTTAAGTTAGTTTCCAAATACACTACGAAGAATTTAAGGACGTTATGTTTTTCCAGCCGCCTCTTACATGTTTCTGGGACTCACCCAGCATAAATAGAGTCTTCTGCCCAAAACAATCCCCTCCCCTCAATCAGATCTTCAGAAAACAACTTCGTATTTTACTCCTGCCTAAAGTGGCTGCCCTCCCAGAAAGCCTCAACATTGCAGAGAATCGGGTTCAGGCCTCGATGATTTGGCCCAGACCACAGGACCATCACCCAAGTTTTAGGTATTCCGTCAACTACAAATTAGTCTTTAGAATCCTCTACTAGACCGAATTAGATCCTAGGCTCCTCTACCCTGGTAGATTCAAACCCTAGAAGTACATCTGGAATCATCCCTATATTCATGGGTATCCTGTAAATGGTCCCCCATTTACAGGATACCCATGTATCCAAGTTTACAATAAGTGGACCTACACATGCCCCTACATGTGCCTTCCAAAGTGTTCAAACCAAATTTGCTTTCACAGGCATAAGGCAGCAGGGTGCCCAGAAACCTGGCAGGGCCAACCTGCAGGCCAGACTACATACCTGAGGGGAGTTTTACTACTAACCTTCTGCGATGGCATGATGCCTAACAAAGGAGCAACTAAGAGATATCCCTTGAATTTAGGATTCCTAATTTTCTGTAATCTCTAAATTTTCTGGAATTCCTTAGGAACACAGGCTAAATAGATACAGGCTCAAGTAAAGAGAGAATCTGAGTTGTACTCAGAGATGACCTATCAACATTATTCAAGAAAGACAGCAGTTCTTCTCCAGCTAACGTGGGATCTTCTGCTAAATAAACATAACCTAGAAGTTTAGGAGAGAACTTAATAGAAGTTATATATTTATAGAGAAGAAGCAAGAATCACTAGAGAAAATTCTAAAGAACTTAACGAATTATAAAAGTTACAGTATTTACATAGGAATTTTTCTCAAAATACAGTGCTTCAAAGGCTCTACAAGAACAGAGATGTGCAGGGCAAAATGGTTACATACTGGACTCAAGAGCAAGAACAAAAGTCCAAAAACAGCTTTGCTCTCATGCAAGCAAAGCAAAAATATCCCTGAATAAAAGAGCAAAAGAGAGGCAATAAGGAAGATACCTAGTAGAAGATGCTAAGAAAGCAGAGAAGAGATGAAGCAGAGATAAGAATATCTGCCTCCGTTGTTCCTGACTTCAGTTTTCCTCTAAGCTGAGCACACACATTGACTGCAATCAAAAAGATCATGACCAGCAGAACAATCAAAGCCACATGGTAACATATGGACCTCCTCACTGCTCCCCTTCTGACAGGAATATGGTCACTGTAGTGTCACTAAACATACAGACACGGAAGCGTGAGGAGGCAGGACACAGAAGGCAGGGAAGAGGTGAAATGCTTAGACGGCTACCGCTGTCTCCCGCTCCCAGTCTCCCCCTGCTGCGAAGGTTGGAAAGAAGCTGAGGACCAAGCGAGGGGTGAATGGGGGGAGAGTAAAGAGAAAAATGATGAGTGGCCCTAAAAATCAAGGTAGGCCTTCTGGGAGCCTCAAGATGACAAAACAAACAAGATGTAGTTTAGGACAAGAAACTGGGTCCCTGGAGCTTAGGCCATACCGAGAAAACATTTCATCACAACGCTGAAAAATACACACATGGCATAATGCAAAACAAAATGCTTCAGTGAAGAGCGTCATTGGAATTTCCCAGAAAGAGTTTATAAATTAGACATACAAAAAATAAAACATAAGATTCACATTTCCAAATTATCCACAGAGTACCTAGTGGAAGGGGTTAATGTACAGACTGAAAAAGTAGGTAAAATACCCCAACCAAATGGTGCGTGCGGTGATCAGAGGACTCGGACGACAAGCCTTCCAAAGCGCTCGGCAACAACCAGGGGTGCGAGACGAGGCGGGCGACGTCCTCCTCTCGCCGAAGAACTGACGTGACACTCACAGGAGAGGGACCGTATCCATTCCGTTCACTTCTTCACCTCAAGAGTCATTCCATCAGACTAGATCTAGGCGAGAAGGTGAAAGTATCAGTGGTTTTTATCTTTTTCATGGTAGAGAAGTGGAAAAAAACGCTATTTTCCTGTCTCCTTGTGTAGCCCCCAAGAGCTCGTAAATGTGCTCCCAGGAAGGTCCAGAGACTTTGTCTTTTTCCACGATGAACTCTGGAATATTAAACTAGACCACAGTAAAAGCAGGGCTTTAGCATTCTGAGCAAGATAATTCTGTATCACTGCCATAAGCCCAGCATGTTAGCATCACTAGCCTCTACTCGGAAAATGCCACCCCCTCAGTCCTTGTTACAATAAAAACAATGACCCCACCTTTCCAATGTCCCCTAAGGGAGAAGGCACCACATTTCCAGCTGAAAACGATGGAGTACCATTTCTCTGTGATGATGAAGCACCCTTAGAAAATACTGCCAGTCTAAAACAACTGGTTCTTGATACTCAAAAAGACTCTCACTCACTCTCTCTTCTAAAAAGAAATGTTGGGGTTGCTAGAATTTGTCCTAAACCATCAACAGTAACCAATATTTGTGCCAGAAGCTATTTACCTGCAAAGGAGAATCAATAAACTTTATCCTAGAGAGGAATCTTCGCAGCTCCCCACGGCCAATTTTGGGAGTGGTCTCCTTTAGCTGGACCATTTGGCCTTCCATCAGTGCCCACCGCAGACTAAGCTTGGTGACCACCAGGGGTGCTGGGTGGCCTTTGGAGCTTGGCCCCGTTGTCCTGGTAACATAAAAGGCATCTTTCCAGAGGTCGTTAATTCCAACTGAGGAAGGACAAAAACAAGAGCAGCTAATAAGGACAGAAGGCTTCCACTAACAGTAGAGTGGTTTGGTTCAGCAACTAGATTCATTCGTTCATTTACTCCTTCATAATTTTTATAAGAAGTTTACTGAGCACCTAACTAGTGCAAGGCACTGAGCTAAACAGTGGGTGCATAGTGGTGAAGGACTGGATGCCAGCAAAGCAGCACATTCTTCTGGGTCTTTGTACTGCTTTTTCTCTGAAGCAGTTTCTAAGAAAGCCCCAAATCAGGAAACCAGGAGCTATGCCAGCTATGGTGGCAAGTGAGCACAGAATTCCTACACTGTCAGCATGTGGCCACACAAACTATTACCCTGGTGCTTATTTTGTCTTATCTTTAAAATAGGTGTTGTAATAAAAGTGGTCTTGATTCTTAATTACCATTATCAATTGTTCACCAAATGACAGTATTCTATGCTGATACTGAAAAACAGCTCATTTGGATCCAATCACGGGGTTTTTTGCAAGCAGACATCTCGGGCCCCCACCACACGCAAAGCCGGTGGATAGGCGTGCTGCGGCTCCCAAGACACTGAGAAAGCCTTAGCTTCTACTCAAAGGCAAATTAACTTTGGAAGGAGAGAGCAAGTCTTCGAATGGCAAGAGAATATGGAAAGTCGTAAAGGACATGTGGCCAGTCCGGTCGTCCCCATCCTTCCCCAGAAGCACAGCAGATTCCCCAGGCCAGCCTGAGGCAAGGAGCCCGTGGGGCAGAGACCAGCAGACACTTCCAGCCTGGCAGGTAGCAGTGGCCGAATTTCCAGGGCTTCACATTTCCTGAATTACGGGGTCCCTAATACAGGATCCCAATTTTGCTGTATGATATTTAGATACATATATAAAGTAAAAGAGTCCTTCCAAAATGTGAACAGTGGTGATGAGTGGTCAGAGTATGGGTGATTTTTCTTGTTCCCTTTCTCCTGGCTGCCGTTTCTATGCAATGGGCATGCTTCCTTTTACTAGCCAAAGGAAAGTCTCCTAAACCAATGCCCTCAGAAAACATTCTAAGTCCTGAGCTCCCAAAGGGTCAAGAAACTACTCTGATTTGTATTCACAGCCCCTGGCACTGTGCCCGACATATAACTGATGGGCAGTGAACACCTGCTGAGTGCACGGTGCAGGAATCATTGCCCTTTAAGACTTCCTAGGAAAGGGGCTGCATTTTCCCCTCAGCGTGCAGCAGATTCCGAGGGCACCGAGGGTACAGGTCCTCCCCCTGAGAGCCTGGTGCTCTTCCCAAGGGAACACCCGGCAATGGCCCTGGGGCACCAGGGACACCAGAGAGAACAAAAGTGGCTCAGCACACTCCCTGCTGTCACCTGAAAGCACACATCCTTCCCTCAGTAGGGCCGTGGTACTCTCACCCGAGACCACCACATCCTCCCCTCCCCGTCTGTGTACGCAGACGCCCATCATCGTCGGGACCCACCCTCTGAAGCTGTTACTGTGCCCGTGGCATTGGCCAGGTCCAGGAGAATCGAGGGGAAGGCTGGATGCAGGAGGTAAAGGTGGTGAAGGCTGGATGGCTCAGTTCCTAGGATGACATCCTGACGATGAGAAGCAAAAAGGAAAAACAAAAGTAACTCTGCATTCCCATACAGGGGGGCTCTTGGATGAAAAGGGCAGAGGGGACGGTGGTGGTTACGTATTCCGCTCAGATGCTAACACCTGATCTCAGCTACGAGGAGAGAGAAACTCCCAGGTACAAGAGACATATTTCAAAGAGTTCAAAACACTAACTAATCACTAACTTCATCAAACCACTACAGTTAGAAAATGCTTCCTTTCTTATAACAACAACAACAAAATGTACAGGTCCCAGAACAGCAATCTGTAGTGGAGACTCGGCCGTCTCCTGCTCGCGGGAGCATCGGAGCGCTAGTCCATCCCCCGCAGCAGGCTGGCATGTGTGAAGACAGCATCTACGTATGAAAACACAGCATGCCAAAGACATTTCCTCTGTTTGGATATTAAAACCAACTGCACATGTTGGACTAAAAGTCACAAAAATCTTATCATTTACAGAAATAAATAGAAGGTTGACCAGACAGGTGTAAGTGGTTAATTATAAAACAAAAATTGCAAGGCCTGAGTGTCAGTCTCCAAACTGTCAATTGCAGAACAAATAAATGCACATTGGGACTTCCTTTAACAGGATAATTTCTGTGCAAGGATGATATTTGGAAGGACATGTATGCAGCCACACTGCTGTTAAAAGCACAGAAAATCATGCGCGTGTGCGTACACGGCTGCCCTACTGAGCTCCCCGAGAGAGCATCGCCGCTCCCTCAAGGAGGAAATAGACCCCCAAGAAATGACAGACCCCCTGCTTCTATATTGTCAGCAGGGGAAGAAATCCACTAAGTGAGGAGAAAAGTGGGCAGGAAGCTTGCAGCCCCCACACTCCTGACACACGCTCACAAGGCAGAAGAGGGCTTTGCTCACACACCTCTAGATCCCAGGCATGATGGGACAGATTTCTGGCTTAGCTACCACGACAAGAAAATAGCTAAACTCCTTCCTCACTGCCTACAGCATAGGCCCAAATTCCTTAGCATGAAAACCAAGGTCTTATATCACTTAACCCAAATCTGCCTTTTCCAGCCTTCTTCTACAATTATTTACCTGCCCACCCCATGCTTCAAGAATGTCTGATGATCACCCAAACGTATGCTTCACTTTGCTCTACCCAGCTCGTGCCAGTCTGACCCCCCCTTAGACTACCTAACTATCCTATCCAGCTCATTTCCTCGCGTTAGAACACTTCTGGTCCTTAGGTCCCTGACCTGAGCGCCACCTCTTTCATGAAAAGCTCTCTAATCCCTACCCCGCCCCCCCCCCGCCCCCCGGCAAAAGTAGTATCTCCTTCCTTTGTGCTTCCATCTAAAATTCTTATTTGCACTTTCTATTACAACATTTGTAACATGCCTTTGTTTGTGCATATTTTTGGATGCTTACATGTGAGAATCATCTGGTTCAATTCCCTCATTTTATTAAATGAGAAAATCATGGTAATATGTTAGGGAATAGCTGAGTTAAAAGCTGATCCTTGATATGAGGGAATATATTAGCGCCTTCATGGACAAAGAGCACAAAGCTCAGAAAAGTTAAGTGGCTTGTCTGAAAACACACAGGTGGTGAATTCAGGATTCTTCCTCCTTCAGGCTCCACCCCCCGCCCCCTGTGTCCCATCATCAGGGATCATCTGCCTTCTCTAGAGGGCCAACACTACAGAGGCGTATATGGCACCTAGCACACAGCAGGCCCAGGTCACGGTGTGTTGAATGAAATCGAAGTGGCTCTCTCAAAAAATTCACAGGCACCTTACAGTGCCTGACTCATCAACTCCATCAACATACCGCGGCATAGCATTAAAGACTTTCTAACATCTGCCTTTTACGTATTGAACTCTCTCTTCCATAATCTCCCCAAGGGAACTCTCAACGTCAGCCTAGGCAGTGTGCCTCCCCACTGTTTTGCTGTCCCTGTCCCCACACCTGTTCCTCACAGTCTCAGTTACTCCCCTCAAAGCCCAGCCTCATGCTCCATGAACCTGCCTTGCCCACTGCGGACCAGTCATGACTCACTCTCTCTTCAACAGCTGCAGCGCCTGTGAATCCCCTGTAAATGCAGACCTAGGGTCTCAAGAGGGCTCTCTGTCCTTTATCTAGCCTCCCGCTGCTGCAGCCAGGAGCCAAGGGCTGCTGTGAGCTTTCCCACTGCCTGGTGGAAAGGCAAAGGCGCTCAGCAGAGCTCAGGAGGAACCACGTTCCTTTCTGCTTAGCCCCCTCGAAGGCTGCTTTCCTCCACCCATAACCACTTGGAAGTGCGGCCGATCTAATAAAACCTCCGGAGCCAGTCCGCCCTGTGGGGCCACTGCCATCCAACAAAGGGACAAAGGGATCCTCCCAGCTCACTCACAGAATTGGGAGATGTAGCCGACAGCCCTTCAGCCCAAAAGAGGAAGACAGACTTCTGGTCTGAAGTAACTGCTGAGGTGGTTGGTGTTTTTTTCATGTGACAGGGAACACTGTGATTCCAAGTAACAGAGCCAGAGTGCCCATCCACCACCATTATCTGTAAAAGAGAACACAGTGAGTACAGCCCGTCCTCAGGAGGGCAGCAGGCCCAGAAAACACCATGCCCACACACACACACACTCAAATAACATATAACAACATGTTGAGTTTATTAGATGTGAACAAATCAGGTGTTCAGACAGCATTAGGTAACAGGACCCAGCTTTCTCCAGCCCTTATTCCCATTCCATACAGCCTACAGGACCCCAGAAGGCTCAGGTGGGAAGGGCACAGCATAAAGCATCTAGTCCACCTCTCATTTCACAGGTGACAAAATGAAGGTTCGGGGGCAGGAAGTGACCTAGATTGTTCCGTGTGGCTGACAGCCCAAGAACAGAGCGCCACTCTGCAGTGGTGGCGCTGAAACCAGAGGCCATCAGCAGCGCCTTGCTCCTGCTGCTTCCCTCCCCCGGCCGCAGCCGCGCTTCGGGAACAGTGACTAAGTGAACGCTGCCGTTCCACGCACTGTGCTAAGAGCTTTCTGCGTTTGACTCGACGGGTGTCACGGCATATGGAGGGTAGTCTCAAATTTAAAAGACCACAGTCTAAGCAGGCAAAAAATAAATTAAGAGAAAATGTGCTCCTTTGTTGCATCTCTCAAAGGATAATTTAAAAAGCTTAATTCATCATCCCTGGCAGCATTTCTATCTCCTTTCCCCGCAAGCACCTCACAGCCCGTCATTTGACAGAATCCCCCGGGGACTCCCCTGCCTACCTCGAGCCCCAGTGTCTTTCGCCTTTTCTCCTCAGCGTCTCCGTCCTTCAGGAGTGCAAAGACCACGCTTCTTTCTGCAATCCCTTCCCTACCCCTGCAGCCTCCGAGTCTGGCCCTTCTCTGCCCATGCTCCGACTCTGCCTCACAAAGGTCTCAGGACCAGCCAGTGAGACAACCTCCTCTGAGCAAGCACAGAAAAAAACAGGCTAGCAGTTCAAGATTCTTTTTGATAGTGTTAGGAAGAAGAGAGGTGTAAAGACATTGCACTAAATGACCTCATCCAGTCACAATAATGTTATGAAGGTAGCAGGCCGTGTTGTGACCCATTTTATAGATGCAGAAACTGCAGGTAGGTGAAATTATGTAATTTGCCCAAGGTCACCAATAAGTAGTGGAACCAGGATTAAAACCCAAGTCCTAACCCCCTCAGCATCTCAGCCCTTAACCAACCTACTACATCTACCCTTCTCCCTTAATACTGCTAGGAATGCCAATGAAAATTCCAATTTCTACCTGAAATTCTTTAGAAAGACAATCAGACATTGCTTCTCTCCTGTACAGCACTGCTGGAAGACTCTCCCTGAAGTGACTCATATCATCGGATCTGCCCTCTGTGGATGACCAAATAACCCTACTACATCCACACCTCGTCCGAATCCTGCAGCCTTGTCTTCATGGCCCTCCATCAGCTAAGCTCGCTTCATCTTGGGCGGGAACGCCCCTTACCTACCCGTGTTTGTCCATCCTACAAACCTGTCCTCCACACCCATGATTCTGCACATCCAACCCCTGACTGGCACAAAGCATCTCGTGACTCCCTGCACTTGACCTGCTCCCCACATCCGTGTGGCACTGTGTACCTCCGTTACAGCATTTACCACACGGTGGTAGAGCCATGTGCCAACAGGTACTCCACACAACTATGAGTTACAGCAGTGGCCTCGTCTCCAGGCCGTGTCTCCACACACGTCATCTGTGTATCCAGCACAGAATTTGGCACACGTTAGCGATGATGATTAAGCGTGTGTTGAACTCTCTCTCTCTCAGGGAACAGTGTGAAATATATAGTTACAGTGAAGATGGACCAGAAAGCTAGGTCAATTATCAAAAAGAAATTTTAAAAACTCTAATTCTGCTTGTAACGGTAAAGAAATGAAAATTGTCTATCCAATCATTATATCCTCACAATATGCAGTCGCATATAAAATCAGAAAGAACCAGTCAGTGTCCTAGGGACATGCCACGCCATTCTGTCTCCGGACCTCTGGTCTTGGTGTTCCAGGCCTGGCATGCTTCCCCGTCCACCCCCTCTGCACCTCCCAGAAATACAGTTCAACTTTCAAGACCCTGCTCCTTGTTCCCTCTTCTAGAGTGCCCTCTGTAACAACGCAGCCTCCCTCGATAGTCTGCCTCCTCCGAAATCTCAGGTGTGTGCTGTGTCGTCTGAAGTACTAGATTTGTTTATGCCTGCCTTTCCCACCAGAGGTGTCAGCAAAGCCCCAATGGCCCAACTGTAAGTTACAGTCCAGTAGAAGGCACCCCTGTGCAGGAAGAAGGTTAGCTACAAAAGCGTCCAATGCTGCAGATGTTAGCATGAATTAAGTTTTCATTTTATCCATTCAGCTAGACTCTTGAGTCATTTTGACGGAAGGGGCCATATTTTTAGGTTGTTTTTATTTCTCCCAGTGCCGTGCACAGGGCTGCACACAAAGTTATAGTTATATAAGTTTTGATTGATTTGAGTTCCAAGATTTTACCTTTTTCATCCCAATTCCATCCTCTATCTGCAGAAGGAAGTCTAATGTCTGATCGTCAGTGAAATACCCAGGAGTAGGCTGGCTACAAATGAGAAGAAAGTAGGTGGCCAAGAGTGAGTAAGAAAAAGAGGAAAACAATGAACTCTTTCCCTCCCCCCCACATCAGTTCCAGATAGCCGACAATTGTTCTGGGCGGTTTTTAAACATAGGAAAGTGGATTCGAAACAGCACACGGGAGAAGGAGCACACTGCAAACCTGTGCAGGCCCTGAAGTCTCAATGTCCAGAACGGTGTGAGATTCTGCCCCCGCAGCAGGACAAGGGCCTGTCTGGCTGTAATCAGAAGGTTGCTGCAATTCGAATCCGGTGCCTTCACCATCTGGAGCTGCTCGACCCCGTCACTGAATCACCAAGACGCCAACAGTTAGTCTCTAGCTTAGCTGAGCTCCCTGCCTTTTTCTCTCAGTATGCACGTCTGTACACACTCTCGTATTCTCCTCCCACCATTAGAAGTCTGTCGTTCCCGCTGATATCATTTTCCTGACCTTTAGAAAACAAGGATCCCTAGAAAATTCATGCAAGTTCATAAGGAACTCACGGAAGTGCCGCACACTTCTCAGATTGGATACTCTGGGAAAGAAAGCAGAGCCAGGAAGAACAGGGAAGGGAGGCGGAGATCTGGGCGGGAGTCCTGGAATTGTCCTTAAGCTTGGACAGCAACTCCTCGTATGCACGTTATCAAATCGTTTCTTTCTCTGGACAACTGGGACCGTTTATTTCCCATCTCTCACATTCACTGGCACAACATGACACTGCCTCAGAAAATGCTAGAGAACGATTTGAAACTTCTGGTATTCAAAAACTGAAGACCATTATTACCCACGTTTAGGGTCGAATAGGTAAAATCCACTGCACGTGACAAACGACATGCTTTTAGTTAAGAAATAAACAAGAATAAAAAATAAGATTTAATGGATGCTATCCTTGCTTCTGCCTAAATGATTCTTCAACTTAGAGAAAAATGCAGGAAGGGTAGGGCAGATGCTTCAGCGCAGTTTCACACACAGTTATTTTAAGTAACCCTGTCCCCTCACCTGAAGGCCCTCCCGCCTCACCCTGCCCCACTCTGACTCAGAACCTAAACAAGTCTCCTTCCTTGCAATCTACGTGCGAGGGATCACACGTCACGGTCACTAACACATAGATATCAACGCATCATGGTATTAAGAAAAGAAAATTTCTCACGTTAATCAGATCAGAAGACGTATATTATGGCTGTAACTGTTTCTCCCCAAAGCTCTGCCCACTCATTCACCAGCCTGGCCGACCTGAGACACTCCATGGCACGCGAGCGCCCTACCTGTAAATGTCAATCAGTTCAGACAGGTTGATGGATCTTCGCTTCTCCCACTCTGGCTCTTCTATCTGCAGAGAAGGTGGTGAGCTGTCTCGATTTTGGGCCTGAACAAAAATGTCCCGCAGGGCGACAGCTTGGATATTTCCTAGCACCACAGGAAGAGCCAACACTGAGAACCTGAATTCAGCAGCCCTCTCTCCCAGGATGGGGACCTGTTTAATACGGCCCACCCAGACTGGCCCAACACGTAGGGAACCGGGGAGTGATTACGCAGATGCTACACAGGAGTACTCTCTTTACAGAAGGCAGCAACGGAGAGCAGAATTAATAACCTGCGATGGGCGGGGCAGGGAGCAGCTCCCACTCCAGGAGGTGAGGAAAGGGCTGGTGTCAGCAATTCCCGAGCTTTCACCCTGTCTCCCAAAAGAGACCTAATCACATACACCAATGGGGAACGGTGGCAGAAACCAGCCTTGCCTCTTACCAAAGCCGAACAGGATGTAGACAGCCCCATTTGCAGTGATGTAAACCTGAGGACCAATCAGATTCCCCTCTCCCACGATGCTGTACTTCACAGGTCGGCCCACTGGACTCCCTGTCCGGCCAGACACCAGCAGGAAGCACAAGTCTTGCTGAAGAATTGAAAGGAGGGGGTTTTGTCAATAGAAGCCCTATCATTTCCTAATCAAATAGTTTCTCCACTCAGTCATTGCTTTATTGTTAGCTAAGTGTACAGAAACACTTTCCAAAGTTGGAAAGCATCAAGCCAAACCTGCTTTATTTCCCTCTAAGTAAGAAAGAAAGGCAAATGTCCCATTTGGGACGTTACCTCGTTAAGGTACCTGGCAAAGGGCATCTTTACGGCAGCTCAGGCAATTTCTCGGAAGCACAAATGGTGAACAGTCTCCGAGCCCAGAATTCTAGCCCAGAGCTAAATATAGGACAGCTGACCCCTGGGCCTTTACTGCCATACCCAGAAATTCCCAGTAATTTTTGTCTGCAACAAGTATCTATGCAGACACAGATCTCCATCAAAACCTTACATGTCTGGCCTGGCCACTCTCAACCTTACCCTAAAGCAAAGGTAGTCAAACTTTTTCTGTGAAAGCCCAGACAGTAAATGTTAGGTTTTGCCAGCCAAATAGTTTTTGTAGTAACCACTCTACTGCTGTAGTGTGAAAGTAGCCATCGGTAATACACAAATGAATAGGCCTGTGTTCCAATAAAACTTTATTTACAGAAACAAACAATGGGCCAAATCTGGCCTGCAGGCCATAGTTTGCCAACCCCTGCTCTAGAGAATTTTCTTTTGGGAAGAGAGTCGCTGGGGGGGGGAATAGGAGGACTGTATCGATATAATGACTTCAGTACAGCTTTTGACAAAGTTTATTATCCTGAGTTCTTATGGACAAGATCAAGACAAATGATTTTCAGTGTACCCAGAGAAGGAGTCAATGACAACCCAGAGAGAGGTTCTGTTGGGATGTCGCAACACTCTGCTTTTGTCCCAATCCTCTCATCATTCCTATCAAAGACTTGGATGAACACAATTCGAGCTTATCACAAAGCTGAGAGGGCTACCTAACATGCTGCATGGCGAACTCAAAATTCACAAAAGTCTTAGGCTGCATGACGTGGCAAAATCTGGAAGAAACTGGGACATTAAAAGATGTAGATGTTTTAACTGATTATAAACAAAAACTGAATCTTAGAAAGGCTATCACAATCGTTAGCTGCATTAAAAGAAATACAGAATCTATATCAAAAGAAGTAACAATTTCCTTATGTTGCTAAAACTGACATTAGAAATAGAATACTATTTTCAGATACAGGTGCCATATTTTAAAAGAGATACAGACAAACTGGAATGCAAAGAGAAAAAAATGAAAAAAAAAAGGGGGGGCCTGGACTTCATGTAGCATGAGGACCAGTATGAGAAATTGGGGATATTTAGCCTTTAGAGTAGTAGCATGCTTAGCGAGATGAGGTTAATGAGTAAAAAGGGCTTTCCTGTAGAAAGAGGATTAGATCTATTCAGAGTAGCTCTACGGGGCTGAAGCTGAACAATGAATGGAAGCTATGAGAAGGAAGAGTTCTCATCAAAGACAGATTTTCTAGACCTGAGCAAAAATTAAACGGACGGCTTCACAAATGAGTGGCATTCCCATCAGCCTGAGCACTCGGAGAGAACGGCTGCCAGTGAGCCTGGAACACTGGGTCAGAAACTAAAGCGTGGTACGAAGGGGTTACCCACATGGCTTTCCAAGGCCCCTTCCCATTACTGTTCTAGGCCAGATCAGTCCCTCGAACCCCACACCAGGTCAGCTGTCCCAAGCCAACCTCACTCTACACCAGATCTCAAAATGCAAACACTCTACGTCGTGGACCTAACGTGCTTCATCCCTTGTGAAGGAAAAGCCTTCCACATCTGCAGCTTAGAGTAAACAGGTTCCTCAGCTTCTCTGTTGCTGGTATAAAGGTCAAAAGCTGTCAGTATAAACATAAAGCTACTGCTCTAAACCCATAGCTTCTCCAAGATTTTTTAGTACAGTCTATCACTTTTTTAGGCAGAATGGAGACTATTCCATAGCTGTACACTGCTGTGCAAATGAGTAAATTCTTTGAGGCAAGTTGGGCACATTTTGCTTTCTGACAGAGACAAAAGACAAAGGCACAAAGTAGGACTGGCAAGATGCCAATTCCTCTATTAGAGGCCACCTCACTATGAAGGGTCTCGAAAGGCCTGAGGCAGTATCCCATCGCCACCACTGGGGTCTGGGTGATACACTTGTTCAGCGTCCTGCTGACCGCAACTCCATTAAAAAGGAACCGCTCACACTTCCCGCTTTGGGACCTTCGGAGAATCACTCCCTGATGGATATACTCACTGAAATTTGCCCTAGACCCCATGTTTACTCACAGTGATGGGAATAAAAAAAGATTATATAATCCCAGAATGCTTGGGTCAGTAGACTTCAGGACCAACCAGCCCGCTGAAGGAGAACTAACGGAAAGCACCCTTAACCTGGACTAGCCTTCAGAAACTTCTGTCACCTTTCTTCTTTCCTCTCATCTCTCAAACATCAGGTTCGCCCGGTGTACGAGAGCAGTACCCCCCAAACTCGAGACTGGCGGGGCACTTTAACATAGTTCACGGTGCTCTTGGCCGAACACCACAAAAAACGGATAGATTTAATTCTGTTCTAAATAATAGTACTTGCAGATTTTACAACTCCACATACGCATTACAAAAATCACAACAGCAAACACAAGGTCTACTAAAATTAAAATTATCCAATGAGATAAAAAAATGATCTGTATCTACATTCTTCTACAACTATTCTTTCCAGATTGTTCAGTTCTTTTGTCCACACACATGTTCCGGCAGAGTGACACTAGGATGTCTTAGAGAGACTTTGACATGAGCTCCGAGAAAAACTTCAGGAATAAAAACTTAAAACTGAGATAATTATCTTCATTAATTCTGTAATTTAGGGAGAAAAAATGCCTAACAATTATTTTACTGAGGCGGAGAAGAATTAGCTCCAGGGCAATGGAGCTCCAGGGCAATGGAGCTCCAGGAAGCATAGTTCAGGAGCGTAAATTGAGGACCACTGTACCAGAATCAAAGTCTGTGCTGCACAGCCTTAACTGCAACTCTCTTTTCTTCGGTCACTCTTCTTATTTCTTGTCTAACTTACATTTTTCTCTATATTTGTTTTATAAACTCTCTATCGGTCTATCTTTTCTTTTATAGTTGTAATAAAAGTTAAATATAATAAAAGAATACATACACATAGGCACTATGCCAGGCACTTTATATATGTTAGCTTGGACTTCGTAACAATCCTGCCAGTAGATGTAACATTCCCATTTTACTTACGAAGAAGCTAGGGTTTGAGTAGGTTCCTGGCTGGCCCAAGGCCACAAAGTTACAAAACAACAGACAGGGCAGACTTCACACACAGACCTCCCCTGGATCGAAGCCCGCCCTCCCCGCCCCCCGCCGTCCCTGCCACAGTGAATGGAGCCACAGTGAGACTGCCAGGGGAATGGGTTCGGAGTGACAGCTTATCCATTTAATTTTCCAGAGCAAATTTCTTTAAATCTAAGCCCTTATAATAAGAGGTTTCAAGCAGCATTTATAATAACAATACAAAGAACTAACTAAAGTTGAAGGATTCTCTACAAGAAACGAGGACCATTTAATATACGGCCTACCTGTGATTCCCCAACAGCCAGAACCGCAAGGTCTCTAACGCCATCTTCATCCACATCTGGCAGCACCACCCCTGGGGCCCCCAGGGTGCTGTTGGGTAAGTAGTTTGCGTTTAAGGTCCAAAGAGTTTTCCCTAGGGAAGGATACACAGGCAGTCAACTGGGGCTTTCAGGGAGAGGCAGCCGCAATGGCCCAAGGCCAGAAAACAGAAATGCAAAGGCTGGACAATAGGCAGCACAATAGGCAGCAACTCCTACTTCCTTTTTCCTTTAGTTTTTTTCTTACTGGGAAGGAAGGAGCAGGGAGTATGCGCTGAAATCCTCAAGTGTCCAGCTAACAAACCTGTGTAATAATGTCACAATTAGATTTTTTAGATTAAATGGTGGTACTAAAGTCTCTGCAGGAGAGAGTGATACCAGCGGACAGCCTGCCTGGACAGTTGGGAGCGGGCTGAGGGTGGGCAATAGGTGGGGTCCCCGGGGAGATGGAGCTGGGCCACAGGAATGGGACCTGGAAGCCACTGCTGCGGGGGCCACACCCCTGGGACACTAAGGGGTGGTAGAGCCGGACGATACCTTCGGGAACCTCCTGGGGTTAAGGCAAAGACATCGGGTATGGCAGCACGTCCCCAGGACTGTGAGGTCGCACTGATCCCAGCACCTGCTTTGCAGACACTCTGCCCGGGTGCGCCCAGGTGCGGAGGTATTGCTTGTGGCTACAGCTGCCCTGCCCCTCCCGCTGAGGCAGGCCTCGGCGCTGCCTCGGAGGCTGTGCGGGGTCCCCAGTCCCTTTACTCAGGCTCTGGTTCAGTCACTCTCTGCCAGTGGCCATTGAGTGTGGGCAACTTGCTTCCTGGGGGACCAGGGCATGGGAGGCACAGAGCTGACAGAGCACCATGGGAGTCTCCCCCATCAGCCATGGTGGCAACAGGAGGAGGTTCTTACACCGAGCACATACAAGGCAGGCAAGATAATTGGATAGAGGGAAAAAGCCCCTACCCCGTCCCAGTACCAGATTGAGGGTAGCACTAGGGCAAGGCAGGCACATGCGCAAAAGAAGTTAAAATGGCAGCAGGGGTGGGGGTGCTGGACCAAAGAGGCCTGTCCGTCTGGCCCAGGCAAAGAAGGGATTGGTTGGGAGGTGGACCCACCCAAAGGATACAAAAGTTTAGAAATTAATTGGTCATTCTTTGAAAGCACCTGGTCTATTCCATATCAAAACTAATATAAACCCAGGGGAAGAAAAAAACTCTCTCTTCCTCATTGCTCACTGCTAGGGACCTGCCCTCAGTGCACTGGCCTGTCGTCTCCATGGGCCACGTGACCTTGGTAGTCACGTGGCCCATGGCCACCAGCAGGGAGTTTCTGTCTCTTTCACTGACCTGGTGGAGCACTCACCAGTGCGCTCACCATGCTCTCTGGCCCAGGAGCATGAGAACTTGTGGCCCCAGCAGCTGCACGGCCAGTGGCAGTGCCAGCTCCACACACAGCCTCCAGGCGGGAGCCTGAAGCCAGACAGCAGCTGGGAACAAGCTAAGCTGCCTGGATGACCGCTTAGCAGCCCTCTCGGGCCCCAAAGGATGGTACTTTAAAATGGAGCAGGAACCCCAGGCACTGCCTTCCGTTTTGTCTCGCTGAGGGTGGCTGGGTCTTGCCTGGTTTTGTGGAGATGAGCTCGAGATGGGGAGTCCTCTGTTCTCCCAGATCGTTCTGCATCTGAATAAAAACCTTTCCTTTCTCACCCATTTCTCTCGAGTTCACCTTTTGGCAGAGGGGCCCATTTTTGTTCGATAACAAGAGGAACCCACTTGTCTGGGACAGAGGAATTGATCAGTTAGAGATTAGAGATTATTACAACTATTAAGGAATCCCCTGGGGCAGCCAACCAGGAGACTAACTCTCTCTCCTAACATGTTTTCACATGAGTAGGACACTGTAGGAGATTTTCAAGGTGACTTCAACTTGAGTTAACTCACATTCAATTTTTTTTTGCTCAGAAGTACCTAATGACCAAACTCCATCCGCTAAACCTGGGAAGGATGAAATTTATTCAGCTTCACTTGAGTCCAAGGTGTTAACAAGCATGCTTGCAATATACTTATGACCCTGTAAAGGGCCTTCATTACTGTGATTCTTTTTCATTCCTTTTGTCACGTATGTCTGAACACAGTAAGATAAAAGGCCAAATCAACATACCTCAACAAACCTTACTGTCTTCACCAACAGATTTTTAAGTAGTTAAGGGCTGAGTTTACACATGGACCCTCTATATATCAAATATGAAGAGACAACACTCAGCTGTCTTTTGTGCAAACAACAAAGTAGGGAGACTACTGAAACCAAAGGCCTTACGGTATTGTCTGCTCAGGTTAAACCATGGATCTAGCACTCAATCTGTTACCTCTCCTTCTACTATCTCCCTAAATAACACCTTCCAAAGTAGTGAATGAGATTTTACACCAAGTGAGAATGGAAAGGTCCCTTGCTCAGCAGATTGTTCTGATCTGAGATTGTGGCTCACTGGAGCAGAGATATTTTGTGGCGAATGACTTTTACCTGATGTCGCATTGAATGCGCTGAACATCTTGCGTGTCCCTGTCACAAGGCAGATGGTCCCGGCCATGCTTCCTGGCATCAGATCCAAGCATGTAATGTCTCGAGCCTCCTCAGGGAGCGGACTAGACCAGAGTGTGCTGCCATTCATCCCCGAAAGGCACACAAGCAGAGCAGTTGGCCCTGAGACACCTAAAAGCACACAAAAGAGAGAAGACAGGAAAGGAGGCAGAGAAAATAAGAGGTGGGGATGACCAAGAGACCAGAAAACCAAAATAAATGGTGGGAAGGCAGCATCTCACACCTGTGCACTCCTATTTCAGGCAACAAGGTCTAAAAACAGAGTGCCTGCCACGTCTGCTCAACACATCTCTCGTCCAGGACCAGAGCCATGGACCTCCTCCGGGCTGCCTTATGGTTTCTGGGCCTGTCACCTGAGTGCCACAAAATACCAATATCCTTAAGGACAACGACTGTTGCATTAATTTCTTTACCCTCCGTGTCTTACAAAGCACCTAATAAGTAGCAGCCAATTGTTTTCTAAATTAAAAAAGGAGCAAAATAATCAAGAATAAGAGAAAGTAGTTATTGAGAACAATAACAAAAAAATGAAAAGAACAGGAGGGAAAAAGATATGCTCAGAAAACTGAGGCTAAACTAGAATACCTGCAGAGCAGGGAGCAAAATACCTGAATTCTAATCATCACTAGCAAATGCTCCCTGAGAGCAGAAAAAAAAATTAAAAACAAAAACAAAAACAAAAAAGGATTACACCTAGCAACGATCAGTAGATCTTCCTGGTTTAGAGTTCACTGGAATCAACTGATTTGGCCCTGCTCAGGATAGAATATTTGGGAAAACGTAATACCGAGGCCCAAGGATAGCTGGTAAAGAACTGGAGTAGCTCACCTCTTTAATGAAAAATATTTTATGTCAATTAACATAGCAGAATAATAACCTTCTCTGGCGCCAGCTTTACATTCACTTTCAGTGTGGGATACCGACCCATCTCACACACTTTGCACCTCCAGCACAGCCAATACAGCTTCATGGCACCTATTCCTCAGTGCTGCTGATTAAACAGACAGCCTGAAAGCACAGGATGACCTGCAGCTCACTGTTTCAGCCTTGGCTGCCAGAAGCAGTGATACACATGACAAATCATGGTAATAAATGCCAATGTCCAGACTCCCCAGGGATGCTGTGATTAACATATTGTGCTGCCCTTCCTCCCGCAGGACCCTACCAACTCTACATCAATTCTCTGACCCATCTTTTTCTAGAGGATGATGGGTTATCCCTCCACACTAGCCTGTGACTCCTTATGGCAAAAACCACACTCATTTGTTTAGCTAAATGTAACCAGCACAGCTCAACATAAGGAACACAGCAGACATTTAATGCACATTTATAGAGTGAATGGATGAGCAACAGAACAAACAAATAAAAAAACACAATCCTTATCCTCCATGGCACAGATCTTAGAACCCAGTGTGTGGAGTTTTGTGCACAGCAGTTAGATGAAAGGGTCAAGAACATGACCTCCACAGCCACATTCCCAGACCTGGAGCCCAGCTCTATCATTTACAAGCTGGGGAACACTGGGCAAGTTCTTTAGCCTCACTATATCTCAGTTTCCCCATTTGCAAACAGGGGGTAATAACATTAGCCTACCTCATGGGATTGAGCTGACCGATAAATTAATCCATAATATGTTATAGACTTACAATGGTGCATAGCACATAGAAAGTGCCATATGTTAGCTATGTTCTTTTTAAAATTTATTGCCAAATCAGGCTGGTTCATACTGTGTCCAACCAAACCCATGACCTTGTCATTACGAGTCCTGATAAATAGCAAACATGCAAAATACAAAAAAAAAAAAAAAAAAAAAAAAACAACACACACACAAAACCTCTAAATCTAAAAGTGGATGGGGATAATTTTTACTTCAAAGGCTACTTAATGAGCCATGGGAAGGAAAAAAAATATAACTCAGGGTCAACCGTATAATAGTCAGTTTCTTGCCTGCAGGTTCTCCCTATAACAGATCTATGCCCAAATTGCTCCTACACAGTGCACAAGCCCCAGAGTCTGCTGCCATTCATCCCCATCAGGTCTATAAGGTATCTCTTATAACATCAGGGAGGCACACAACCTAAAATTCTCTAAAATGGACCTAGATGATTAGAAAGTAGTTACTAGGGCATCCTCAGGCTCAAACTTGAGTTCTTGTATCACCGTGCAGACTATAGTTCAAGTGCACTTTGATGGAGGCTGTAAGACAAACCAAAGCTGCCGTGTACCTATGCCAAATATGCAGAACTTATTTTTCCCAGTTGACATGTGTAACTGCTGGGGTCTCAGGAAACAGCCCGCTCAGTTAGGGTAGGTTGTGAAACGTTTAATAGCGAGACAGGATGTGGTTAGGGCACAGGGAAACCACCAGGAATGGTACAGTCCCTCAGAACTGTTGCTATTCCCACAGGCCCAGACAGACAGTGGAGGAAGTGAGTACTGGAATCCAGAAAGTCCTGTAAGAGGACCACCTCGACAGGAGCTATGACCTGTGGTCAAGGATGTAGCCAGACGGCAGTCACCCCAGCAGGGAGGGAGCCAGAGGAATACACACTCTCTCTTCCCTCCCCTCCTCTCCTTCAATTTCTTGCCTGTGCTTCCCACTGGCCAAACCCAACTGGAAGTCCGCGGGCAAGGGAGACCCTTGACATTAAGCCACACGGACCGGCCTTGCAAAGCAGAGAGCAGAATGGAAAGCAGAGACAGAGGGGTACACAGAAGGAGTAATAGGAAAACACCCAGCCCAGATGTAAGTGTGAAAGATGCATCAGGACAGGAACAAAAGCTTTCTGCCAGGGATAGGGAGGTAGGATCGTCAATGTTCATTATAATCCAAGAGGCTGAGGAACGCTGACTGGGAGAAAACTCAAGAAACCTAAGAACTGATGCTGAGCACTGCAGGTATGTGGTGGGCAAGGCACTTCTCTGGATCTCAGCTTCTTCACCAGGCCGGTGACCACAACAAGTTCCCTGCAGCTACCAAGCTCTATAATTTCTTGAAATGAGCTTTACTTAAACACAGGAACGTGCTGATAGGGTTTATCTTGTACGACAGGTGCACAGTGACTGATGCAGGCCCTTTCCCACAGTGGCCCTCAGGGGACGCTTTCACTTAGCTCGCAGCCCCTCCAGTCAATGAGCTGCTCCGCAGCAGCCTCTAGAAGTCACGTCTCTTACCGACTGCACTCCCATTCCTCGAAGTTACAAAGGAGAGAAGCACGTCACGCAGGCCATCGCCATTCACATCCGCCAGCTCCAAAGGAGACAGGTCCCCACCTGAAAAACACAATTTTAAAAAACCCTTAGCAAGTTAACGCAAACCAGTTAAAAAAGAATGAATACACAGTGCCCGCACTTCCTTAACAATCAGGCAGGCTTCTGGTTCTTAGGTAAAAGATGATTCTGCCTATTCTTCTCACTAAATACAGCTAAAATCCCTGGACATTATACAGAAAATAAATATAGGAAGTCTCTGGAAGGTGGTGAGAAGGTAGACCAGCGAGGGACTGTGAGACCCGAGGAATGACAAGAGATGATGACCCTCTGGGGTTTTTTTGGCCTCATCTACCCCCGACTAGGTGCTGCAGAAGCTGGCAACCCAGAACACCCACAGGTACAGACCACAAAGCCCCCAGAAAAGCGGGCTCCCCTAGCCTGGCAAGACAGAAAAGTTTCAGATACTAACTGCTCTAGTCCAGCCAAACAACACAGATAAAACCATGGCCCCACCCCCACAGCAAAGGCCAAGTGGGGAGCCTAGACCTTCGCTCTTGCCCAGCGGTAACAAGGCACCCCTGCCTCCTCCCCCGGGGTCACGTCGGAGGAGACCAGGTGGGGAGACAGGACCTTCGCCCCCTAGCAGCTTTAAGGCCCCCCACACGCCTGGGAAGCCTCCGGTTCCAGCCCTCCCAGCACTAATGAGGGGGCCCCGTCCCCCTTCTCAATCCCACCTGGGTGGTGTCAGCAGAGGCCCAGCGGATGCCCGGACTTCCATCTCCACCTGGCAGTGACAACCAACCCTACGGGCCCCGCCCCCCCGCCGCCCCCGCAACAGGGCGGAGTCAGAGGGTGCCTGCCCAATGCGGAGAGAGCTGCCACATGGCTAGTGGACGTGTGAACTGGTACAACTGCCATGGGGAAGCTGAGGTTGAACATGCACATACCGCAGGACCCAGCAATTTCGCTCCTGGGTGTATGCCCTAGAGAAATTCTTACACACTGCATCGGGAAATATGTACAAGAACCTTCTTAGCAGCATTATTTTTTTAAATAGAAGCCACCTAAATAAATGTCTGTTAACAGTAAAATGGATTAGTAAATCATGAGACAGACATACCATGGAAAATTACACGGCGGTGAAAGTGAACAAACTCTAGCTACAGGACCTCAGTATGGATGAACCACAACAATATTTTTTAATATGTTGGAAAAAAAGGCATTCACAGGAGACTACGATTGCATTTATATAAAATTCAAAACCAGGCAAAATTAAAGACTATAGTTTACGGATACATAAGTGGTAAAACTATAAAGAGAAGTAAAAAAAAAAAAAATCACCTCAGGACAGTAGGAGGACATAGGAGAGACACACGGAGGTTTCAGAAGCCATTATGGGACCTCTTTCTTAAACTGGGTGTTGGGTGTCCCGAAAGCCTGTTACTAGTTTTTACACTGTATATAAACATTACAAGAGCTCACACAGAAAAATCAAAAAAGGAAGGAAGAGATATTCTGTGTGGAAGAAACGTAAGTCAGAGTCACCCAGTTCAACCTTAAGAGAAAGTAGAGATGAGAACCCAGAAGCCTTCGGCGGCTACTTCAACCAGGATCACGAAACGCCCGAGATGAAGTATCTCTAGATCGAGGTAACACAGGGGTATAGGAATACTGTAGGGGAACGAACTCTGTTCCTCTACCCTCATAGGGTTTCCAGCTGGGACTGACATAAGACAGACTAACAAGAAAAGCATTTAAATTTTATTTGACAGAATTGTACATGTACCAGAAGTCCCCACAGGAACATGAAGACCCAGCGGTGGCTAGGCCTAAGCGCTTACATCCCAGGTTCAGTAGAGTGGCAGCTGTAGAAAGGTGACTGAAATATAGGTGGAGACCAGAGAAAGATAAGAGGGATTTTAAAAAGGTCTGTTTGTACTCATTTCTCTTGGCCTCCACTGCCTGTCTCTGATAAGAATGTTTCTTTCCTTTTGGTATAGGAAAAACTCCCATCTCTCACATGGGAGTTTTATCTCTTGATATTAAGAAGAATTGAAGGTCAGAGTGGCCTTCTTGCATCTGCTGTTGTTAAAGTGCCTTTAAGTCAAAGTAATCAATATGCCAAAGCAACCTATTTGGGGATGGTGGGTTCTGAACCCTTTCGGCTTTAATGCCGTTTACAAGAGACAGGACTGCTCACCACTGCCAATTTAGATGTAATCTCCATTCCTGACCCAGAGCAAACTATTTTAAAGAAACTTGCTCCAAAATGAGACAAAATAGCTAGAATGACTTGGGCAGCACCATCTTAACCATGAGGAGCAAGGAAGAAAAGTTGCTACAAGAAAGCAACTCTTTTACTTGAAAAGAAATTATTTCAAAATTCAAATTAGGTCAGGTTTCTATAGTCGATGAATGCCGGAGGGTCCTCGAGGGGCACTGGCTTCTGGTCTGGCCAGGCCTTGTGTCTTACTTTTCTCTTAAACAGCCCTTCCGACAGCTTTGCTCTCCTCTGACAGCGTTGGCTGCATCAGGAACACAGCAAACCAATGCTCTGTCCCATGTACGTCAAATTAGGACCAACGCCAACACCTCTTTCACCCAGCGCCCCTCCCCTCTGGCAACCACCAGTCTGTTCTCTGTGTCTATGAGTCTGTTTCAATTTTGTTTGTTCATTTATTTTGTTCTTTACATTCCACATAAAAGTGAAATCATATGGTATTTGTCTTTCTCTGACTGACTTATTTCACCAAACATAATACCCTCTAGGTCCATCCATGCTGTCGCAAATGGTTAGATTTCATTCTTTTTTATGGCTGAATAATATTCCATTGTATTAAAAACTATAAACTGCTAGTCAGGAAATAGTCACAGAGATGTAAAGTACAGCACAGGGGACATAAGTCAATAACATTGCAATAACTATGTACGGTACCATGTGGGTACTGAAAATAGTGAACACTTCGTAAAGTCTAACACTATGCTGTTTACCTAAAACCAATATAAAATAATATTGAAAAGTAAGCTGTAAATGGAAAAAAAAAATGCCAACAGAAACACAACAAAGCAGTGATCTCCCCAAGTTTTTTGAGCTTTATCAATCCATCTTTTTATTTGATTTCAAATCTTAAGCTCCTAAAGGCACCTCTACCCACTGGGGGAGAATTCCTATTTGACACACACTAATTTTTAAAGACCCGGAGGAAGGTTTTAATGCCATCAGAAACTTTACAGAACTAGGGCTGAAAACCCTACAACTCACCTCCCTGGGGGCCCAGGTGGCGGCCCCAAGTGCTGTGCAGATCCCTCGGGGGGCAGGGGATCAGGAACGCGCACACCAGCACCAGGACCATTGAGATCACCAAAGTCAGGAGGAACACAGACGTGCGCACGTAGGACACGATGGAGGAGGTTGCCTTCTGCTCCAGGCCTCCAAGGGGTTCCGAGGGGTACCCCTCAGTGGTGACCTCCGAAAGATGAGACTTTGCAGCCCCTGCAATGTCAGCATCTGAGTCGGGCTCTGGCACTTCTCCCAGAGGACTCTTCCCATTTTTGACCCCTCCGTTCTTCTGCTGCAGGTCAAGCACGAGATCATCTTCACTCTCGTCACTGTCGGCCTGCGTGAGGGGATCGTACTCGCCTAGGTCTGGGCTCTTCTTCCCTGAGGAAAACAGAAAGAGAGAGCTTTAAGGAGAAGGAAGGAGAAACCCTCCCCAAGTACATGGCAACTCTAAGCACCTAGGAAAATACACAGGACTGAACAAAGTGAAACAAAGCTAGATTTGCAAGCCTGGACCTTTGTGGCTCTGTAAAATAGCTGCCAGCATGAAGAAAAGAAGGCGGGGGGTGCAGGGGATCACAGTGTTCTAGAATTACTGCTTGCATGAGTTTAAGAAATTGGAAAGGAAAAGAGAAAGCAAATTTCAAATGCCTTTTTAGGTTTTTTGTTTATTTATTTAACACCTCTCTTAATGTGCTTGAATCTCTCTAGTGAAAAAGATGATGGCTCTTCTATCACCAACCTTCCATATGCCTCATATGCATATTTTCTTAGGGGTGTGGTGTTCCAGTCTTCCCTGGGACTTCCTAAACTTTTAGAACAATTCTTCTCTCTATACTGCCCCTCACAGTCCAATATTTGTGTCTTCCCAATTACTTCTCTGAAACAACTTAGAAGGTGGAGGCTAAATGCCACTGGAGATGTCTCACTGGAAATTCACTCCTGAGAACCTTCCTGGGAGTGCGATGCCCTTTCAAGTACACGTTTCAGGAAACAGTGTTTATCTCTAAACTTGTTCTTCCGAGCATGTGCTCTGGGAGGGGTGGGATTGAGCAGGAATGCAGAAGAGGAGGACTTGTCCTGAAGCTGGTTTACACAACAAGGGCATGTTTTTACTTAGACCTTACGCTCATTTGGGGCAGCGAAGAGGCGGAAATTACAGGAGGGCTCTCACACCTCCTCGCAAGCCGCCCCTTGGCCCTCACACCAATGACTGGGTGATTTTATGCCTTTATTTCATGTTAGAACCAAGTAAAAACCAAGAAAAAGTTTCTGTTTTTGGAAATTACCTGGTAAGCTGGTACTAATGTAAATGCTGCTTTAAATGTTTTGTTAAGAAGAAATATAAAAATCTAATTTAAAAGGGAAAAAGAATTTTGATGTTAATCTCTGCCTCTGCTATCTTGGTTACGTCACTTCACATATTATTAAGTCTCAATTTGCTCAAGACATGAAATGAAAAAATAAAACATTAAATGGGAAGTAAAATCTTTTTTTGGAAAATTGATTTTAGAGTGAGAGCAATGGGGAGAAAGAGAGAGCAAGGAATGTCAATTTGTTGTTTCACTTATTTACGCATCAGTGGTTGATTCTTCCGTGTGCCTTGACTGGAGACGGAGCCCACAACCTTGGTGTATCGGGACAGATGCTCTGACCAACTGAGCTACCCAGCCAGGGGCTCTGCGAATTAAAATCTTTAGTGTAAAGTTTAGTGTTTGGTTCATTGAAAGTCAATAAATGTTTGATTCAAAACTGAACACTGTGGTCCTGGCTGGGCGACTCGGTTGGTAGGAGAGCCATCCTGCACAACAAAAAGGTTGCAGGTTCAATCCCCTGTCAGGGTGTCAGGGTGCATAAGGGTGGCAAGCAATCAATGCTTCTCTATCACATCGATGTCTCTCTCGCTCTCTCTCTTCCTCTCCCCCTGCACCTTCCCCCTATCTCCCTCTGTCTCTCTTTCTTTCTCTCTCCTCCTCCACCTTCCCCCCATCTCTCTCCCTCTCTCTCTTTCTCTCTGTCTCCCTCCCTCCCCCTTCCTCTTTCTCTAAAATCCATAAAAATATATCCTTAGGTGAGGATTAAAAAAATTTTTTTAAATAATAATAATAATAGGCCCAGATCTACTTTCAGGCGCAATAAGTTGATGACTGGCATAAGAAACAAAGAGAAGTAAGTGCTAAGTCAGCATGCTGAGGTCCTGTGACAAACTGGCAGCCCCCTGCCAGCCAGGACAGTGACTCCCAAGGAGCAGCAGCTGGGAAAAAAGGACTCTTGAGTTCACAGACCTACTTCCGGCCTCCAATTAATTGCCCTAGTTCACTCCTCTGGCCCCAGCCTCTGCCTCTTTGTCAGCCAGTAGGGAGTCGTAAAACAACTGTGCATATAAAGATGAATAACAATTTGAAAGAAACCATCAATAGCAGTCATTCTTTAAGATACTACAAAGTTCTACAAATATTTGAGAAAAAAGTCACAACAAAATGTCAAAGTCAACTAAAGAACAAATGCTGGACAAATGATACCATGAAATGTAAGAAATAATGAATGGATACTTCCCCACGGATCCCAAGAAATTATAGAAAATAGCCTTCTCTGAAATAAGAAAAAAATATAATATTTCTAAGAAGAAATGACAGTTCAATAAAGAAGATTACAAGTAAACAAGCAGGGCACAGAAAAACTGAAGACAATAATAAAACAATTTTAGAGAAGGTATCTTTGCCAGGATCAGCAAAAATAACACACCTGCTGACAACAGAGACACTAAAGGACAGACTGGTGACAGTTAATAAAAATGAAATGGAAATAACAATGGCTGGCAATTCCGACTCCTTACTATGCACCCTTTCAAGCCCTTTTACTGTCTTACCTCAGTAAGTCTTCATAACAGCTCTTTGAGGTAAGCATATTATTATCCCCATTTTAAAGATGAGGACACAGAGATTTGGAAATTTAACTGACCCATAGCTAAACAGCAAGTAAGTGATAATGCAAGGATTCAAACCCAGGCAACCTGGCTTTGAAGCCTGTACAGACTAAATAAGCAAGTCATCCCTATTTTAATAGGACTAGAAAGAAAGGGATGACTAGAGAAAACAAAGATGATCCAATAAATGCATAACAGAAGAGGAGAACAAGGGAAAAAAAGTGGAACCGAAAACAGTATTTAAAAGATATACAGCCCTGGCCAGTGTGGCTCAGTTGGTTGGAGCATCATCCCATAAACCAAAAGGTCACAGGTTCAATTCCCAGTCACGGTATGTGCCCAGGTTGTGGGTTCAGTTCCCACTTAGGGCATGTACAGGGGGTCAAAGTGGGGCAACCAATAGATATTTCTTTCACATCGATATATCTCTCTCTCTCTCTCTGGAATCAATGAATATATCCTTGGGTGAGGAGTAAAAAATAATAAAGTAAAAGATATACCAAAAAAAGTTCCTTCAATAAAGCCAGACCTAAAACTCCAGAATAAATAATACAGTGAGTCCCAAGAAAAACTGATAAAGAATAATCAATAGTGAAACATATTCTAGTAAAGTCATTGAACTTTAAGGACAAAGAAAGAATCATATGAGCAGCCAGGCCAAGGGAAAAAGAATCAAGTCACTAATGATGGAAACAAAAATCAGGCTGACTTCTCCACAGTAACATATTCCTAAAAGATCATGCCACAGTATATAAAAGTTCTCAGAGAAAAAAGATCATGCCACAATACGTAAAAGTTCTCGTGAAGTACAAGAACTCTGATCCAGACACATTTCTGAAGTACAAAGGCAAGCGTGCAAGAACTTAGAGGCTATTTTATTCTTGTGTCTTTCTTTCAAAGATCTTAGAAGAGAACCAATTCTTGTCCAAACTCTTAAGATAAATATTTACTTTTATACTATTAATAGTACATATTTTTCCAGATAGTTCAAAGACAAATCTCAGCTTAATTATCACTGACTGCAAATTTTGATTAGAGAACTCTTAAGTGAATGTTTTTTCTACCTACATTTCACAGAAAGATAACAAGGGTGTATAAACATTAATTCTTTAGACTGAGAAGCTAACATCAAAAACATGCTTCTAAGCTCAGGGCACTTTAACACTCTCTTCTCTGATGATTTCAGCCACCACCTACATTTTTAATCAACGAAAGGCTTTCAGAGAATGAAGAAGAAGACACGGATTTCACAATACATCAATATAAATGAGCTTCCCAAAGCTATCACTTTCCCCATAGGAAGACTGAGGACACTAAGTTACATACCATTCCCAAAACAGTATGGATGAAAACATAAGCAGGAAAGAGATGCAACTGTTCCATCCCCAAAGGTTTCCAAGAACATATACTATAATATATACTATTTATTGACATGTACTATACTTTACATAGACTATACTACACACTCTACTGCAACTAAAGGCAAATAATTCACATCATGGATTAGTTTATCCAAGCAGGGCACATAATCATTCTAAGTTACACATAATAAAACAAACCATTGCAGTAACATTATGCTGATGTTCCTGTCAGTGTTTGACCTACAAACTTTAAAATGAACTAAAAAAACATATACTTAAAAGACAACAGTCTCAAAGGCTGCTTTATAAATGTTACATTGTCCTTCTGTTATTAATTAACCTCACTGTATGCACGTGAGCCAAAGATCTTTCCATGAGCTTAGTGGAAGGGTATGAGACTGTGAAATACATTCCCAGCCACTGCTCTTTCCTCAAGAGGTTGAGGACATCTGTCATTAACTCACTATTACATCGCCCTCCTTCAAGTATCATATTCATAAGTGATCACGGTGTTAATAATGATGATAATAATAAGAGCTAACACTTCTTAAATAACTAACATGTCAAAGGTTAACAAACCTCTCAAGTATATCCATCTCTTTCACTTTGCCAAATAATCCCATAAAGTCAATATGTGGTAAAGTGCGTGAAATACAGTGAATTTTCCATAATAATATCATTATTACACATGAAGAAACTAAGACATAAAGAGATTCAGTAACAGATCTGGTAAAGACTGGATTTCAATCCAAGCCTGTTGTATGCCCTTAGCTGCCGTTCTTCTATTCTGCTTCCTTACACATAAAAATAGGAAGGACCCCACGGTGGGCATCATGTCGCAATACACACAAATACTGAATCATTACATTGCACACCTACAACTAATATAATACATGTGTTATTTCTGCTCCTTTAAAAGAAATGGTGAGGAAGTTAACTATGGTAACATGACATAATAACCCAAACAGGACTGCAGCCTCACAATCCCAATTACAGTGTATCCAAAAACAGCTAAAAGAATGCAAATTTTACTTAACATAAAAGCTAAAAATTGTTTTTGGGGTGGAAGGGAGAAAAGGCAAGAGACAACTGAAGTACAAGGGGAAAAAAACTCAAAACAAACAACCACCCCATATCAGAAGAATATATGGCTAATCTGGGCATTAAAAAGTATCAAACTTACTTGACTGCTCACTGCAAGCTGCTGTCCAAACACGGGCCCAAGGAACAGACTGTGTTTTCGCTACCCTATCAGATGACGGAGCTACTGCAACTGAACACTCCAGGGGGTAATAATGCCACAGCCTCATAATGTGAGAATGCAAAAGAGCTCAGGAGTTTGAAAGCAAGACTTTCTTGCATTCCCATCCTCAGAGAATAACCACTACCTATGCTAGGGTTGGGGGGAAGAAACCAAAAAGCAAAAAAAGAAAAGAAAAAGAAATACAACTAAATATGTCTGACATCTCATTATCCCTTTGCGAGAATATCATCCTACACTAAGGATACATAAGACTACTCTCTTCAAAGTTAATTAATCCTGCACGTACAGGGACATTCCCCCCTCCCCCTTTCATCTCAATGTTACATACACGTTCCAAAATAGGTATTATTTCCGTTCTTTCCAATGTTCTAATGAGCCCATGTGGTGGGGCGGGGGGAAGTCTTAGGTCATAAAGTCTGGTGACAGAAATGCAAATTCATATCAAATCCATACCCAACGCCGTCACGCGTGGCTCAGTATAGCAGACTGCAGCCGCCCTGCACCTTGTGCTGAATATCCACCAGACACCCAACTAGCCCTTTCTAACAATGCTAGTGAAAGTAACTGCTCTTCACACTAACCCCTTAACAGCAAAAAATTATAGCCTAATGTTTAAAAATTATTTAGATAGAACCATGAAATTTTTAAAGCCTTAACGTTTAAATTTTATTTGGGTAGAATAATATGTCTTCACGAAAGAAACAAGTTTCTACCAACACAGTTCCATTCTGAAGATTAAAAACAAAACAAGCAAACACAACACTTGCAACGGTTGCCCAAAGTACTGAGTTGCCTCTGGAAGTTGTCATCAGCACTAGTGCCTCTTTAAAAAATATCCCACACTTTATCTGCAACTTGCAAATGCCAAATCATTTTCCTCCTAAATGCTTAGCCTGGACAGCCACAGGCTAAGTGGAATCAAAAGGTCAGGATCTAGCGTTAAAAGACCCGCGGCATTCAAGTCTAGGTTTTTCCAATACTGCTTCGCGACATCGGACAGGTCAATGAGCCAAGTAACTCCCATCTTCCTTTTCTGTAAACTCGGAGAGAAAACACCCGTCAATTAGAAAAGAGGCTGCTCCGGAGGGTCACGCGTCGCCCTGCCGCCCACGCCCGCCGTTCAGGTGCACTCTGCGGTACACCGTCTGCGACGCTTCGGAAAGGATGCTCCCCTCACCATCTCTACCCTTGGGAGGGCGGCGCCGCGCGCTCTGACATTCGCCACCGCAGCAGCGTCGGCCCGCTCCCGGCCACCTGCCCCGCGTGCCTCCAGCGATCCCTCCCTTCTGGTCTCCCAGGCTCGCCCCGTGCCCGCGATCCGCGACCCGCCCGGCGCCACTAACCCCAGCCCACAGAGCGCACCGCTTGCCTTCGCGCGGACCCAGCTCCACCTGGGTTGGGTCTAGGCCCAGACCGGCTTTGCCCCCAAATCCTGGCCTCCTCGTCTCCCCGTCTCCCCAGCCCCAGTGGGGGCGGGGTGGTCGCGAGGGGTTCAGTCCTTACCCGGGAGCTTGAGAGCCCTGGACAGCACCGTCGCCATGGCGGAAGCCGCGGTGCGCGTGCGAGCGCCCGCGTCCTGTCGGGAAATGTAGTTCCAGGCGGGCGGTGCGCCGGGCTGGGACCTGAAAAGGTGGCGAGCGGCTGGACCACGCAGGGTCAAGAGGAGGAGCCTGCCTGCAGCCCACGCACGCTCGTACACGCCCCTGCGGGCTCTTCTCCCGCCCACTCGGACCCAAGCCCCTTACTTGGCAAGTGACTTGAGCCTCACTTTCCTCCTCAGTGAAATGGGGAGATGCTACCTATCACGTAGGCTTGCAATGAGAGGGGAATGACAGAACCGGTGTTAAAGGAGGCGCAATTTGAGAAATGCGCCGCAGGTTTTGGAGTCAAGACACGTGATTTCAGTCTTGCCTTCATCCCTTCCTAGCTGGGCCACGTGGGCAAATCGCTTGGTAGGACTAAGTTTCAGCTTCATTCTTTAAAATGGAGACACCAGTATCTACTTCCCAAGTTTACTGTGAGAATTAAATTATATAATCTGTTTAAAACACACCGCACACAACAGGCAACTGTTTCTTTGTTTCTTAGGCAAAGGTCCAGGCTTCCTGGAGCTCAACCCTCATCTCTTATTACCAGTTTATGTGTGTGACACCCTACCTGCAGCTCCTTGCTTGGAGGGTCTAAGGAAGCAGAAGCTGACCTGCTTCTTCCTCACAGGCACCGAGAGGTCAGCCTTTTAATGCAGGAACCCAAAGGTGTTATCTAGTCCACCCTCCTTGTTTTACTGAAGAGAAAACTGAGGTCTAAAAAGGTGACGTAAGTTCTTAGTGTCAAACAAAAGCTCTAAGATACCTCTCAAGTTGGAGGCTGCCTCATTTGCCCGAGAAACTGTAGACAGGACTATCCTGTGCGTGTGATCTGAGATTCTCTAACAGCCACCCCCATTACCCATTTCCTCAGGAGAAAAATGCCTGGGGCCAGGTCATGAGTTCAACCCCCCCAACTGCACCAACTCCTAGATGTCAGATCTAGCGCTAGTTGCTCAGTCTGTCTCTGCCTTAATTTTCTCATCTGCAAAATGGGGGTGCAGTAGTTCCTATTCCATGGAGTTGTCCTGAGAATTAAGTGGATGCATGCAAAGCACTTAGAACAGTGCCTGACACCTAGAAAGTGTTTCATAAGTGTTAGTTTTTCTTTTGTTAATAATTTATTAATTTTTTGACAATTTAAAAACATCATAAATGTAATCATTTAATGGGGGGTTTTTTTCGGCCTTCCACAATACTCAAATTTTCTACTGTTTGCCAGTCCTCTGGAGGTACAATTAACAAGCATATCTGAGTCAGTACAGAGGCTGCGACTACAGAGAGATTACTGAGAAGTTGCAAAAATGCTGGCTGTGTGTGTCACTGTGGCCATGGCCTGCTCCGTTCTTTGGCAGCCAGGCTGGTCTCCAACAATGCCCTGGGATCATCCTTCATTGCTGCAAGGAATCCCCATTCCCCTAACACTCGCCTTCAGAAGACTGGCACTGCTGAAATGTCCTCTGTTCTTGAAGAGCGGATTCTTGGAGCTGATACCTTTGTTGACGTTGAAGAGACTGGGTGTGTCTTAGGTCTTGGTGATGGCATTGCCCAAGTACATGGGCTGAGGAATGTTCAAGCAGAAGAAATGGTAGAGTTTTCTTCAGGCTTAAAGGGTATGCTGCTGAGATTGGAACCTGACAATGTTGGTGGTGTTGTGTTTAGAAATGATAAATGAATTAAGGAAGGAGATATTATGAAGTGAAAAGGAGCCACTGTGGATGTTGTCACTGCCGAGGTGTTGGGTCATGTAGTAGATGCCCTTGGTAATGCCATTGATGGAAAGGGTCCAGTTGGTTCCAAGACCCATAGGTGAGTTGTCCTGAAAGCCTTGGAATCATTCCTCCAATCTCTGTGCGGGAAACAACGCAGACTAGCATTAAAGCTGTGGATGGCTTCGAGCCAGTCACTTGTGTTCAGTGCCAGTCACAGAAACACAAGCTGTTGATGTGCCTTCTTACATTCCAAAGAATGTCATTTCTATCACTGATGGACGGATCGTCTTGGAAACAGAATTGTTCTACAGAGTATCCACCCTGCTATTTACATTGGTTTGTCCCAAGTTTCATCTGCTGCCCACACCAGGGCCATGAAGCCAGTGGCTGGAATTGGCTCAGTATCAGGAGGTTGTTGCTTTGGCTCAGCTTTGCACTGAACTCAATGCTGCCACTCAACAACTCTTGAGTCCTGGTGTGCATCTGACTGAGTTGCTGAAGCAAGGACAGTATTCTCCCATGGCTATTGAAGAACAAGTGGCTGTTATTTATGCCAGAGTAAGGGGATATCTTGATAAACTGGAACCCAGCAAAATCACAAAGTTTGAGAATGCTTTCTTGTCTCTTGTTATCAGCCAACACCAAGCCCTGCTGGACAATGTCGGGGTGAAGGAACAACCTTAGAACAGCCAAATGTAGAGCTGAAAGAGATTGTAACAAACTTCATGGTTGGATTTAAAGCTTAAACTAACTCCTAAGGATTCTCATCAAATACCAGGTTGGTTTTGTGATTGTTTCTTCTAGTAATCAGTTCCATGTAAAAAGATTACTCTTATACTCCAGATCACCTTAAAAATAAAGTGCTATATTGAAAAAAAAAAAAAACCCAAACACATATCTTACATCTATGTAGGTCATCTATGAGGAGCAACACAGCAAGTCAATAGGCAGTAGTGACTTGCCCGATATCAGATTAATTCATTGGAACACATTGAGACATGAAAACTGACTTAAAAAGAAACTTTAGCCCTGGCTGGTGTGTCTCGGTGGATTGAATGCCAGCCTGTGAACCAACGGGTCACCGGGTCAACTCCTGATCAGGGCACCTGCCTGGGTTGTGGGTCGGGTTGCCAGCTGGAGGCGTGTGAGAGAGAACCGGTCGGTGTGTCTCTCACACATTGATGTTCCTCTTCCTCTCTTTCTCCCTCCCTTCCCCTCTCTCTAAAAATAAATAAATAAAATCTTTTTAAAAAAAGAAACTTTAAAGTAAGTAAGGTATAAAAATGTCCACTTTAGCTGCAGAAAAACAGGAACTTGTGTTTCTAGGAGAGAATACAGTGGATCAGAATAGCCAGGTTACACAAGAGAGAAGGAAAGCAGAAACCTGCCCGCTTTCTTGGTGAAAGGGTGTATTCTAGGGGAGTCCCTTCTTATGTGGTGGGCATAAAATAAAGTTGTATGGTTTAAAGTTTGATTAAGATTTTGCTTAATCAAACAAACTATACTGTTTGCTCTAAACAGTATAGTTACCCAAAGCACCAGTGTACATAAACACAATTCTGCGTATGCACATAAATGGGTATGAGCATGTACACATCTCATAGATGTGGCACCTCCAGCCCCTCGGATTTCCATGCTTAATCTTTGTGCATTTCCATTTTCCCTATAATCACCCAAGCTTTGCCCAAATTATATTCAGGGGGACGCAAGTGCTGAGGCATCGCTTGCTCCCAGCTCCCAGAGCTTTCCTCCTCTTAGCCTTACTTGCTATCTGGGAATCTCTCCCATCCCCCAGACTATTTTCCATTTTAACACAGGAACCATGGATTAGAACAGTGTTTCCCAAATTTAATGTACTTTTCTGCCAAATAAAGGAAAAATCCAAAGCAGCCATCAAATGAGCCAGGATCTTTGCCTTTTACATAGAGAAAACCTGTGAGTTCCTCTGTAAGTTACCTGGCAGAATTCAAACGTCTTTACCTATTGCCCAAACACCTGCTGAGGTCACTGTGGTAAATGCCAACGGCCCAGGGCTCCCGACTTCCCACTTTGGCTCACTTCCCCGGGAAGTGAAACAAGGGCGGTTGGGGCGGGATGGCTGTGGACAGCCAAGGCGGCCGGACTGTGGTGCCGCTCTGCAGAGAAGACATTCTATTTCTGAAAGTCACAGCTGAAGCCAGAAGAGCCCCTTCTGTTCTTTCAACACTGATCTGCAGTGGGAGTATCCTTCCCCAAACTTCCAAGTTTCCAATACCTTGCAAAGGAAACCCATATTTGTTGGCTCTTAATACCTTTGTGATATCCTATGTATCGTTCAAAACCCCTAAGCATCCTGCGTAGGATCATCATCAAATCTGGTCGCCTAAGACTTACCATTCCCTGGGCACTATGGCCACTTCTGCTGGGGCTGAGCCTCCCAGTCGCTTTTACTGCCTCCTCCTGGAACCAGTACCATGTTCACCAGCAGCTGCCACCACCCCTCCTGGGTACCACTGAGACCACGAGGCCTTGTGGCCATTTCTACCTCCCTTCAAAAAGTGTTGCTTCTTGTATCTCTCACGAGTCAATACCACTTCATATTTTAGTGCTGTTAAAATGTCGAAGCAGTTTAGTGTAATGGCAACTAGGGAAGGCTGCCTTGCTCTTCTTTTTATGTTATACTTATCAGAAAACTACGAATGCTATGTTCTTCAAGGCCAAATGCAGTATTTTCTCTACTTGGAGCTCTTCCACCCTGCCTCCGCCCACATGCCTGCGAACTTCGCAATACATTTTAAATCGAACTGTCTAGATTGATGAGATCCGCTAGAAATAGTTTCCCAGCCTCCCTTCACCCTCCAATGGTTTCCCCACCACTCATAGCCGCCCCCCTCCCCCCCCATCCCCATGCCTGCTGTCAGCCCTGCGGAAGGGGATTTGGGGATATATGGTTGTTCCTTTTAATAACATTGGATCTTAATATTGAAAGGGATCTCAGAGGTCTGCAAATCCAATCCCCACTGAGTAGGAACTGCTTCTGTAACGCTCAGTCATTTCAGCTCTGCTTGGACATTATCTGTGTCTGAGAGCCGGCGGCGTACAGCAGGTACCCACTGGTGGACAGCTCTGTGCCTGTTCCCCCGACCACACCGGCAACACTAACTCTCCCTTCCAAGGTCATAAGGAACAAGGCCTAATCCCTGGGCCATAGGGCAAGTCTTAAAATGCCTGAAATACTAAGGCAGGACTCTTAAAAATTTTTGCTGGAAGTTATTTCCTCCTTCTTATCAAAAATATTTTTTCTCTCTCCTCCCTTCCCTTTGCCTTAAGTACATGA